CGTCGCGTTCTCTTGTAAATCTGTGATTTCTGTTCTAATCCTGATGACAACTCCTGCAAGCGTTTCGTTGATTGAAAGTAGGTCGGCCAAGCGAGTGACACCCGGTCTTCCGCGGTTTGCTTACTGAGTGGCTCCATTTTTTTCGACTTATTAATAAATTTATTTATGTTTTTATTAAATTAAAATATAAAAGTACTGAGAGGATTGCTACAGAGCATAGAGTACGCCCAGCTGAGCTGAAAAAATAATCAATCTTTAGTCGATGATCAGGCCATGGGTAGAAAAGTTTGGTCTTTAGTGTTTAATTAATATAAATTTCTCAACTTGTTTTTCTTTCTCAAGCCATTTTTCCAATTCCATCTTTAGCACACTGTCTGGTGTACCTTGTGGTTCATGTCCCATAGATGAGAGAGCTGTCCATTTTTTGACTAGATGGTCAGCCTGTTCACCCCTTCTATACCTTCATTCCTGGAATCCGACGTCCTACTACAGCAAGGTCTTCCGCATAGCCTAGGCAGTAGATTCTTCTTGTTCCAACGTTTGTAGGACATCGACCAGTGTCGTCCACAGTAGAAGTGAGAGAACACCTACTTCCAGGCATCCCCTGGCTGCCTTAGCCCGGATGGACACTCCGCCTAAGGTGGATGTGAATATCCTCTTGTATAGGCGTTCCACCTATTCACGTATCTTCTCCAAAACTCCCCTGTTTTTAATAGCTCTATATATATAGAGAGGCAGTTGTTGCATTGTTGAAAGCTCCCTCTATATCCATAAAAATTGTGACAGCTATCTTCTTTTCCTTTATGGACTTGGTTAAGCATTTACACAGGTGTCCAGGGGTCCTCTGTGCATCTCCCTGGTTGGTATGCGAATTGTCACTCACTGAGAGGTTTGTTCTTCAGCGCTGTCCTACGAATGTGGTTCTCTACCAGTCGATAGGTCGTCCTACTTTTGGTATGTACACCACTCATATCTCTCACCATCTTTTGGGAATGTAGCTCCACGCTAGGTACGCATTGAATATTATTACTAAGTATTAAATGAGAATCTCTTGCCCTTTTTGTAGTAGCGCTGGGTATATCATGTACTCCTGCCTCCTGGCGCTGTACTTCTCAAGTGTCCAGCTTATGGATTTCGGTTTTATTTTGACTGCCATCTCCTTCCACTCTTCCTTTGTGTTTTTTTTTTTTTGTTTTGTGTTTTGAGGATTCAAGGAGTATTTCTTCATGGATTATTTGTGCTCCTGAGAAGTAATTTTCAATCAGTAGAGAGAGTGTTTCTTCTTCCGTTTGTGTGAAGCTTCCATCTGTCTTGTGAGGAACCTGCCTCCCTGCACCATCCTTGGCTAGGGTCCTGTTTATGCGGGCACATTGAGGTGTGTCTGTGATTTCCTCACAAAATCTCAAAAAAAAGTTAGGTAATTTTATAAGGACTGACCTTGGTTGTTGATGCCAGTGCTACCCCATATGGTGGGCATTTGCGTCTCATCCCATGATTAGTATCCTGTTTTGTTCCCTGGAGTACCTCACAATGTCATCCAGCAACTTGGGTGGGCGGTTCTTTTCTTGGGAAATAGGCTGAGCAGATTAGCTATCTTCTTTCTCTGCCCACAGACTTTGCTGTTAGCATTGCTGCCCGGGGTCTTGTTGATGACCTCTGCTATATTACCTGGTTTGTTGGGGTTTTATTCCTCTTACAGTCCCATTGTGTACCCAAGGTTCTTGGAGCAGGGCGACATCCAGGTACTCTCTGTCAAACCTCTTGCACAGTGTGGCCGATAAGGCCTTTGCATGCTGGAGGTTGACCTGGAGTACCCTTATTCCTCCCTGTCCGTCTGACATTGGGCTGAAGTGGATGGAGTATATCTTCCTTCATTTGTACTACCTGCTGTTGGCCTTGTATCCTTTTGAACGGGCTTGTGTAATCAATCCTCAGCCTCCTTTGCTTCTTCGTCCGTGGTTGGAAGTGCGAGTTGAGCCTTTCAACTTTAATCTTTTCGACGGAATCGAATTCTTCCCATTCCAAGGTGAGGGTGCATGTCCACTTTCGGGAGCTGAGGTCCACAAGGTACCCTTCTCCTGTTGGATTTTTCTCCAGACAGTCCATAGGTTTGTATTTAGCTTCCGGTTTGAGGATTTTAGCCTGGCCAGAATCCTCTCTGCTGTCAGTCTTCCAGTTTTGGGATCCAGTATGTAGGTAGTGCAGGTGATAGGGATGGGTATGACGTCCTCCTCCAAAGTCTCGAGGACTGCTTCCTTTCATGGCTTCAGTGTTGGGATGGTTTTCCTTAGCCAGTCAGCATTAACCTGATCTTCACAGGTTATGACCATATAGTCTGACCTGTGTGTGCATTTGTTGAATTTTAATTCTAACGTCTGTAATTCTCCGGCCGATACTTTCTCATACGCCAGCATGATGGCATCTTCGAGGGTGTCAAGCCTTTCGGGGGTCATCTGGTTTACTGGGTAGCCTTTTTTTCTACCAACCTATGTTTACTTGTGTCAAGCCCCCTTATAGGATATCTCCTTCTTGGAGGGTCTTGACTTTTTTTGGTACCTACTTTTGAGGGGTGCTGTCTTCCATCCTTGACCTTTTCTTCTTGGATTTTGAAGCAGGCTTTGTCACATGAGCTGACTTTTCCTCCTGCTTCTTTTCCTTTGTCAGCTTCAGGGTCACCTTTATGAAATTGTCCCTTACTAATTGTTCATCGTGCCTTCACATATTCTACACCCTCTTTCAATAGGGTTGTTAGCCTGTTTCTGGAGGCCCCCGATGGGTGGATCTTAATAATTTAATCATCTGCTGAGAGTTGTTCGATCTCCTCCAGGCTTTTTGCCTTGAAGGGGACGTATTTGGGTTTGGCACTGCTGCCTGGTTGGGTGGCCTCTGGGCCTGATCAGGGTGGTTGTGTTTTTGTTTTTATATTAGGTTCCAAATGATTTCCATGGATATAAGATGTCCCTATAGCTAGGGATATAAGATGTCAGCCCCAGCAGAATCCCGCATGCTAGGGTAAGCCTAGATACAACAGAGTGTCGGCCGGTTCCCTGAGGGCTCCATTTTTTATCACCCCAGTGCCATTCATCCTTCATCACAGGTCGCTTAACAACTTGGATTAGGGTTGCCATTTTCCCTTTTGGCTTGCCTTGATGCGTTGGCCCTATGGGGTGCTGGCAACATCAAGGTGTTTCATCTACATGGGAGTCGGGATTGGTCTTGCGCCCCCACCCTATAATACATAGTTAATCTTAAAATAAGAAATAACATAAAAAAGACACTAATGTAACAATCGAGCTACAAATTAATTGTTAAACTTGTATTCCCAGGCGTTTCTCATGAAAGCAATTAATGGTTTACAGAGCCATTGGCTTGTCAAATTTCTGAAAATTGCAGGACCAACGAGGGAGCTACTTCCCATGTAGAGCTGGCAAAATTCGGCCAGCACAGGGCATTCACAAATGAAATAATGAAGACCTTCCCTGGCATTTAAGTTGCACATAGGACATTTTTCCCTGAGTGAGTCCTTCCTTAACCAGGGCAATTCATTAAGAAATAGCAACTTCGCTATCAGCTTGAACATCCACCTCAATTGACAAAGATTCAACCAAGAGTCACTGCAACCAAAAGATTGCAATGAAGACACTTTTATTTCTATTTTAAATGGCGGAATGTATGTAGAAGTACATATGGTTTCAGGGTGTATTATACTGCGCCCTTTGAGAGCTATTGTACCCCCTGTGCTCTGCCTAAAGCACATCGGTGAGTCCTATTTCATCAAGAAACTTGATTAGTAGGCCCGGTTTCAATGGTTGAAGCTCTTCTATGGTCACATTATACATCCCAAAACATTTCATCCTGCAGGCTAGTGTGGCTCCGCATTTTGTTAGTAAATGTGTTGGTGTCTCTTCTGCCTCCTTGCAGAATCTGCATGTGCCATCTTGGGTTATTCCAATTTTCTTTAAGTGTCCATTTAATTTGCAGTGTCCTGTTAGGAATCCTATTAGGATTCGCAGTTTGTTCCTGCTTCCCTTGACACATTCTGTAATTTCTTTCTTGCCAAAATTGGTTAGAAGATTCTTGGACTGTCTGTGTCCAATGAGTGAATTCCAAAGTTCCCTCATTTTCTTTTTGTCCTTCTATCTGAGATATTCGTTAATAGTGTGGATTCCTATGCCACAGAAGGGCTCAAGTCCTATCAGCGGTGTAGCAGCCCCTTTCCTTGCAAGGGTGTTCGCTTTCTCGTTGCCTTCTACTCCCATGTGTCCTGGGACCCAGCAGAGACTTTATTCTGCGTAACTAATATATTTAGTTTGGTTTTGCAGTTCAGCACCATCCTTGAACTAATGATATTAGAGCTTAGTGCTTTGATGGCTGCTTGGCTATCTGACATGATAGCTATATTCTTGTTTTTGTACCCTTTACTTAGGTTGAGTTGGGTACATCTTTCGATTGCATGAATCTCAGCTTGGAAGATACTGGTGTATTTTCCCAAGGGTTCTGAGTATTTGGTTCCAGGTCCAAATACCCCTGCCCCTGTACCTTCTTGTGTTCTAGAACCATCTGTGTACCAGAGGATGGTGCTATTTTTAAAAGAGTAGTTTCCCTCTCTTTCCCATTCTTTTTTGGTACCCAGGTTTATTCGGAAGTTTTGGTTAAATTCAAACATCCTGTTCTTGTAGTCTCTTGGAGCCATGAGTATCGGATGGTCTTTCCATAGTTTATTGCTATCTCTCCATTTCAGTTTTATTCCTGTTGGAGGTTTTTTCTAATGTAAAAAACCCTGAATTTTAAAATTTTAGTTTAGACGAATACTTACCAAAATAAATTAATTAAATAAAAGCTAAATTTATCTGGTTGATTTTTGAATCGTGTGGGATGTGAGGAAGATAGTTCAACGAATGAACGAACTATTTTTTTAACTTACTCGTTCCTAATGAATGAACGAACGATTCATGGTAACTTATTCGTTCCTAATGAATGAACGAACGATTCATTTTAATCTACTGGCCCCAAACGAATGACAAAGTCAAAACCTTACCCAGTCATAACAATTGTTATCAAATTCTTGTTTTTGATATTTTGTTGATTTGTTTTTGTTTTTAAATAATTTTCTAAAGTGAAAATTTAGTCTTTGATACGAGTATTTTGGCTCAACTGAGCTGAAAAACGTTTCTGCGAAAATGGATATTAAGCAGCTCGAAAAGGATGCAAAAACAACAGCTACTAATTATGTCATTAATATGCTTCAAAGACCTGGCCAACTTGAAAAGGTTAATTTTTCTTAATTAATACGATTTTAAAAAAAATTTATATTTCCTGTTGGAAACTATTCTGTACAACGACAGTAGAGCCTGGTAGTACAAGTGGCAAATGCGGCCTTCTTGTTAATAATCAAACAGATCGGTAGAGGCTCGAATGACAGGGTCGGATGAATGTCAGATAATATCAATGAGAAATGGATATCGGGAACCCAAAGGTGTCAATCATCCGCCATAGAATCTATTGATTCAGATGGTTATAGGGTTGGGATGATTCGACTTAACCGACACCCAATGGGGAAAATTTTCATGAGCAGAATATCCAGAGGAACAATAGAACTGCAACGGTGAACCGGTTCCACATCGTGATGGTGTCGATGGGTTTATATTGATTGGACACAACCCAGTCAGATGTTGTGTGGCCTGTTTTAATTGTCTGCTTCCTTAATAGCAAAATCAACATCCCTCCTTCATCCACATCACCAAGAAGGATAGTTCACACAATAGAACGGTCAATACCCATAACTACTACTTCATGTACTCAAAGTAATGTTTTTATATTAGTTTTACCATAGGCTCTTTGGTTGAACTGTACTCTAGTTTATATAATAAGAAAGTTGGGAGCCAGCTTTAATGCAAGTTATTAATTAGTTTTTCCCTAGTATTGTTTTTTATTTGGTTTTACATTATCAGTCAACAATCTCATTAAATTTCAGGTTGAACAGTATCACCGTAGAGTGACGAGAAAGAAAATATCTGTCGAAGCGATGCTGAAGACGTCAATTCAAAGTCAGTTGGATGGAGTTTGTATGGGCCTAGGGCAGCTACAGTTAGCTGTACAGGAAACGCAAGAAGTTCAGAACAAGTAATTTAAGAATACTTTTATTTTTGCCCATTTGTTATAGATTGAAGGAAGTTACTACATGTAATCTTAGGTTTTATGTACCTAACACATCCCCATGCGCACTTCTAGGTATCACAAAAATGATCTCACAATAATTTTTTCATAAAAACTGTGTAAAACCAAAAAAAGTATACTTGTTAAAAATACCTCTCAAATCCTAACTTAAAGATTGTTACTCAGCATCCCAAACGTTACTTTGTTTTGCAGCATAAGTCTTGGGTCTACCAATCTACGTCCAAGCTGCAAAACTTCAGATTTTAATGTGAAAAGTCACACAGGTTCAGACTCCCCTATAGAAAGCACTAATTTTTTTCAAACGTTGAACGAATAGTTTACATGCTTACAGTTTAATGCATTTAAAATATATTTTAAGCAAACTCCATAATAAAAGTAAAGTAACTGATAATAAAACTAAAGTAGTTTCTGTCATACAGGAGGGCTTAATGTTCAATATCCATTGGCTGACATGGATTGCCAACCCACTTTCTTATCCTTAATCCTACCTGGACAACAGGTGCTTTAGACACTTTCCTTTGTACAAGGTGGACGTGGGAGTCCCTCTACTCCACTCAGTATATACTGCTGATATCCCTTCCCATCCTGACACCAACTATCCTAACAATGCTGATGCCACCAACAATTGCCATTATATCCACCTCCGACCCTGTTATAGCTCACCAAACTCTCCAGACACACCTATATCCTATTGAACAATAGTTCAAAAAAGGTGAATCAAACTAAATACCACAAAATCCAAGACTTCACCTTCACTCTACGTTGCATCACTCCTTCACTCACCGCCCTGTCCCGTTCTATATTTCTAGCCACATCACCCATAATGACCTGAATGTTTTTAAATTAAGTAAAATCTAACTACAAAAAATTCCACACTAACCTCCAATCTCTCTCTAATCCCGTACTACTTTCTAGATCCATTCCCAGCAATCCTCCTGGATGTCTAAAAAATTATTATTAAGTTATGAATTATTAAAATCTGTATACATAGTACAGTTTATTACTGCCCTGATATTTTAAAATCCTTATCCTTTCTTATAAAATCTAATGCGGTAACAAAATCCATAAACTATTCCATGAAGTGTGACACAAGGTCTCAGAACAGTTTCGAATCGCATATTATCAAAAACTTTGCATTCATTAAGGATATGCTCCCAAGTTAGTGAGATTCCATTCCGGCAGTTATAATTGTCGATAATTTTGAATCATTTTTAGTACACTTTTTTCTCCGTGTCTGCTCAAAACTTGGGTTTCTTATAATTATTTGGGAGATGCATTTTTTTCTTAATTTAAACATTCAAAAGAACAATTATGTATGAGACCCCTTTGTTGTTTCAGTCTATATATATTTTTTCCAATTCGGCTATTAATTCATCCCACATCTTGCTTGATATATGACAGTGGATTTTTGAGAAGAGCATCTAGAGTGTTTCATCTTTTGTGGCTGCTTACTCTTCTCTATCAACCTCTTCATTTCCTTGGAATCTCGGTAGTGCCTTTATCTAATGTAGTTTGACTAAGTTTTCCCTGACTGACTCTGGCAGTTTTTCCTTTTTTCCTCAACTATTTCACTATGGATTTTCTTCCTATTTGTTGCAATGCAACCATGCTGTCTATCCATGTTATAACGCCTTTATCTTTACAGTTTTTTTTCAGAGTTTATCCACCATTCCAGTGCCTTATTAATCGCTAGAATTTCAGCTTAATTATCTGAACACCTCGCAAAAAGTTTAAACCTATTTTTACATATTGGGTTCGGTGAGCCTTTTCCAGAATACACCACAAATGAGCATCCCACTTTTCCTATACCCTTCAGTTAGTAAATTAAGGTTGCAGGAGTCACCATCGACTATATACATGGTTCCTGCACATCCTTAGGGTATTCTGGCCTGATTTCATTTTCAACCTGCCACACTTTGTTGAATTCCACTTTCTATTGGAGCCACAGTCCAATCAGTGGATATAGAAAAATAATGCAGCAGGCCTCGAATGATGTGTGGAAACCTTTTGAAATTATTCGAAGGAACATCAGTCTCTGAGTACTTCTTAATCTTGCCAGATTTCTTTCAGCATGCAAAGCCTCACTCCACACTGGGGTAGTGTAAGAGAACATGGACAAAACGGTTTCTTTGTAAATTGTTTTCAATGCATCACTTTTGAGACCTCAGTAAACCTTGACTGAACGAGATAGCAAATTGACAACAAATGACAAACCATCTCTAAATATTGAGACTAGTGGGTGGGGGGGGGGTGTTCCCAAGCACTGCACTCATTTGGCTTATTGTTCATTCCTTAGTTTAGTGCCGTTCTTGCTTTGGCGAAATAGAATTAGTTAAGCCAAACAAATTCTCATAAAAAAAATGATCATTGATGATAGAATGAAATCATTTCAATAGTTTAAAAGGATGGTTCTACTTACAAACCGATTTTTCTTTAAAGAATGTGCAAAATTAATAAAACAAAGACAACCGTCAGAAAAAAAGAAAGAAAAAAATATAACGAAAACAAAGAGAGATCTAAAAAAAAGATACAGAATAAAATGATTAATAATTAATTTGATTAATTATAAATTATATATTGCAATCTAAAAAATACTTAATTTTTAATTACTGTGATTAATTAGCATAAATAATATTTTTATTTACAGTTTAAGCACTGTCAATTCCTTGTTAGTCGATCTCCCCAATCTTGTTAAAAGACTCCAGAGTGTCCGAGAAAAGAATAATCAATATTCACAGTATGCTACTGCCATGGAGAACCTCAAAAACTTATTTTCCGTACCGGAAAGTGTGGAAAAGACAAAACAATGGATTAATGAGGGCAAACTTCTCTACGCACACCATGTAATGCATATCCCCTGAATTTTTTAATAAATTTTTACGACCCTCGTTTATTTTATACCACAGAGTTTAAACGATTTGGAAAATTCTCGTGACGACTTGTTGTACGAACTGCACAAAGTACCGTCGCAGCAGTCGACTGACAGATTATTGCTGAAAGCTTCATTCGAGGATGTTGAAGCTGCATCGCAGTATCTTGAGAAACAACTCAGACTCGTGTTATCAAGAACACTTTTGACTGTTAGAAAAGAGCCTAATATAATTGTAACAGCTCTTAGGATTATTCGTAAGGAAGAAAAGAAGGATGTATTTGCACTACAGGTCTGTAAATTCTTTGAAATTACAATATAATTTTAATTTAGGGTCTTTTAAATATTTATATGTTCATAGCGTCAAAAACAAAGCGGTTTTCTTCCTCCAGGACGGCCTAAACGATGGAAGGACATGGCTATGCAAGTACTGGAACAGTCAGTGGCTCAGCGTATTGAAGGCACAAACGTAGAAGACAGAGCTACGAATAAAATGTGGCTGGTCGTCCATCTTGAGGTCAGTTCTGTAATTTGATTCCTCACTGGGTTGATCTGCCAGACGTGTTTCGGCATTTTGCATCTTCAGTGAGTTTGGATAACAGACCACTGAAGATGGTGAAAATTGAAACAAGGAGGATAGACTGACCAAGACAAAATAAGGAACAAAGTACAAGTTCACCAACCAACTGAGAAATCTCATTATTGAACAGTCAATTCTGTTAGCGGCTCACAAATTTTAAATAAATTAAAATATAAATAGAAAAAGTCACTGATCTGTTCAATTATAAGATTCATTTATATATCAGTTTAAAAAAAATTTGATTGATTGTTTTATTTTCAGCTGACAAGACAGTTAATAATGGAGGACTTAAAAGTTGTAAAGACACTTTGTGAACCATGCTTTCCGAAAGATTATGATATCGTGAAAAAATTTGTTATGATGTACCACAATTCACTTTCTAGACATGTGAGATATATTTTATTTATTTTTCACCTTTTGGTTTGTATTTATTTAGCTTTTTCTTTTGTTTTCCAGTTAGAGGAAATAATAAACAACGGACTGGAAGGAAATGAGTATGTCTCTCTATTGTCTTGGGTTGTCAACACGTATTTAGGGCCGGAATTGATGCAGCACCCCGACCTGAATATCAGTACCGATTGGTTAGACCCTCTATTGAGCAAGGCGACAATCGACGATCTAAAATCAAGATATTTGAAGGTGAGATCGATCAATCCAGCCAAATTTCCTGTACAATAATGAAAACATTCATTTTAGAATATGGAAGACAATTACGTTGAATGGATGCAAAAGACACTCGAGACTGAACAGCAAGACTGGAGCAACTGCGTTCAGCCAGAAGGTGACCAAGAGGGACATTTTCACACAGCTGCACCCGTTATTATTTTTCAAATGATAGACCAAAATCTACAAGTGACCAAAACTATAAGGTTTGTTATATTGAAATTCACTTATCATACACTCAACATCATCGGTGTATCTTAATGTATTTTTTTAACTTTATTTTTTCAGTGATGATTTAACAGACGAGGCGCTAGTATTAAGTATGAAGCAAGTGAAGCAGTATGGCTATTTGTATCGTGATGCGATTATTAATTTTAAGACTCGCCACTTTGAAGATCGTAGTCGGGCAAGTATTGCTCTTGTTTCTGTTAGCAAATAATGACATTAAGCAACGGCCATTCACGGATGATTAAATTAACATAGCTAACAGGATTATTTACATTAAAGTAAGATATACTATAATAAATAATTATGTTTTTTTTCCAGCTTCCATATTTCACACATTACATGATCACCATTGTGAACAACTGCATGCTGTTTCTAGAACTTGCCCAGCAGTTAAAACAGCATTATTGGAGAACGACAGATCTGATGAATAGGGAATTGACTGTGGTATTCTCAAACCTTTTGAAAACATACCAGGTACTATACATACCTACATAATAGAAAAATATAAATAAAAAAATCATATATTTCTATAACTAGGTCAAATGCTACTTTTATTTTGTAAAGTTTGACAAAGTAAAAAATTGATTACATTTCTCTTATTTTAATTGAATTTCTTCTCTATGTCATGGAAAAACATTGAATCATGGGTATGTAGCCTAACCCTAACCCAACCCATGTATACTCAGTAAAGTTATGCATAAAAAATTTGTGTGACCAGCTCAAAAACATCTATGTTAACGTGACCTAGTCGAAAGTGGCTAAGACCCAAAACTAAATTTCTCTTTCCACATTAAGTGGTAGAAATATCTATGAATTTAAAAAAGTATATTTTATCTCTCTCTCTTCTCTCTCCTCTCTCTGCTCTTTGTTACTCACTCACTATTTACACTTTTGTTTGCTCACAGTTAAACTAGAAAAATAATCTTAATAAAAACAGTGTTTGCTTGGCAAAATAATTTCACCCTGATTTTTATTGTTTCGTCAAAATTGTTATTGGCCTTAGTCAGTTTTGAATAGAACCAACATAACCAGGCCAGGATGCATTATTACTCGGACCCTTTTGAAAGTAGTAATTGACCAATAGGATGGTAATAATAATAAGTCTTTATTCACTGTTTATGGAGGTACATTTACAAATTATATATTGGGTTGTCCGGAAAATAATGCAGGATTTTAAGTTTTCATTAAAAAAAATCTATATAAAATATTCTGTTTACGTTTACAGGATTACTCATTTGTATGAATGTCAACACTTATTAATCCTCTTCCAAATGATATTGTTTGTTTACCTCTGTAGCATTCCGCTACTTGGAAATAATTCAGTCATCCTTATAATGTCAAAGCGAGAATTTCGTACGATTTTCTTTTACGAGTTTAAACTCGGCCGAAGCGGAGCCCAAACGGCTAGAAACATTAACCAAGTCTGGGGCGAGGGTTGTGTTAATGAGTGCACTGTGCAAAGGTGGTTTAAAAAATTTCGGGAGGGAGATTTCAGCCTTGAAGATGAAGAAGGTCGTGGAAGGCCTTCCTCTCTTAATGATGATGTTCTGCGATCAGTGGTGGGTGCAGAGCAACTCAAAGTCAGTAAAACGACCGTCGCTGACCACCTCAAGGCGATTGGAAAAGTGAAAAAACTCGAAAATTGGGTTCCACACTCATTAAACGATCGCCAAAAAAATCAGCGCTTTGATGTTTGTGCATCACTTCTTTGTCGAAACAAAAATGACCCATTTCTGGCCAGAATTGTTACATGTGACGAAAAGTGGATTCTCTACGATAACACTAGACGTTCTGGACAGTGGCTCGACAAAGGAGAAGCTCCAATACATTTTCCAAAGCCCCCAACTCATCAAAAAAAGGTAATGGTTACGGTATGGTGGGCTTCATTTGGTTTAATACACTACAGCTTCTTAAATCCTGGCGAAACCATCAATGCTGAATCATACTGTAACCAAATTAATACCATGCATCAGAAATTGGCAGTAATGAAGCCCTCTTTGGTCAATCGGAAAGGGCCCATTTTGTTGCATGACAACGCTCGACCACATGTGTCACGTGTAACGTCACAAAAATTATTGGAGCTTGGCTATGAAACTTTGCCTCACCCACCCTACTCTCCGGACCTCTCGCCTACTGACTACCATTTTTTTAGACACCTGGACCACTACTTAGAACACATAATATTCAAAAATCAAACGGAACTGGAAAATGCATTTATTGACTTTATCAATTCTAAAAATTCTGAATTCTACTCAGACGGAATTAATAAGTTACCAACACGTTGGGAGAAATGTATTGAGAGTATGGGAAATTATTTTGATTAAAGAACATTGCTTTAAAGTAACTAGTTTCTTTTTTTTTGTTTAATACCAAAATCCTGCATTATTTTCCGGACAACCCAATAGATAGAGTAAAAGTGCTGAAATGGATTTAAATAAAGACAAAAATGTTTTCATCTACATAAACATATGATAATAAATGTGAAACAGATCTTTTATTATAGATATAATGAAATATCAGTATTATTTGTACAATTATTATTGTATACAAATAATATTGGCCTATGAAACGTGATGCATCCCTTGACTTTTCCATGTTTTATTTGCATTCTGTTTGTAGGATTTAAGGGATGAGGCTGCACAATGGCTACTACAAGAAGCATTCCTTGATTTAGAATTTCATTTTAGAGATTTAATCACTACAAAATGGATGTCCAGTACCATATCAATAGATACTGTCTGCGTTACGTTGGATGATTATTTTCATGTGATTTGAAATTTCCTTATATATACTCAGTTGAAACAACTTTTTTTAAACAATATTTTATTTCAGGATTATATCCATTTGCGTGCAAAAAATTTTGAATATGTTATTAAAGAAGCCGAGAACTTGGTTACGAGAAGATATTTGGCAGCTCTGTTTTCAAAGAAGATGAGCTTTAAAACGCACGAAGAAAGAAAAGCTGCTGGAGAGAAAATTTTACAAGAAGTCAATCAATTGAAGGCGTTTTTCGTCCGAATCGCTCCGAAAGTCGCCAGCAAGGTGGATTCTCCATTTGAGGCTATTTGTTCACTAGCTGAAATTTTAAAAGTCGAAGACAAAGACATATCATCTTTCCTCCTTCATGCTTTGGTCAGAAAATACCCCGACATCAAGGAGGATCACCTGGTAAAATTTCTAAATCTGAGAGGTGATTTGCAAAGGTCGGAAATAAGAGACATTGTCAATGATCTCAACGAAAGTAAAACAGGTGCGAGGGCATCATTTACCAAAAGTATTTTTCATGACGTACCCTGATTATAATTACAATATAAATACTAAAAATGTGTAATGAAAATATATTTAATTTATTGTAACCATGCTATTGTAATATATTTAAACGTGTTTTACAGTTGAATGAAGGAAAACAATTGATATACTCTTCCTTCACCTGAATTATATATTTTTTATGAAATGTTTTGAAATAATATATTTTTGAAAAATTGTTTTATTTATTTATTTACATATTAAAAATTATCTTGCAAAATGTACATTTTTAAAATTTTACTAAAATGAATGATTGTCATGTTGCAAGGCTTTTTCTCATTAGTGACACTTTCATTTATGCATCCAATGCCCTTTTGATGAAGATGGGATCTTGTTTCAAGTTGTGTTTAGTACCTTGATTTTTCAGTATTAAAAAATTTGACTTTTCCACTGTATGAATGTACGGGCTGGATACATAAATGCATTTCTTAGAGATAGTTATATTTTATATCATATTATTATTATTATATTTATATAAATTTCCTTGTGTGACCACTTTTCCAACATTGGTTTCATGTTATTGCTTTAGTGAGCATGAGTTGGGTAGGATGGTTCACACAGGATTAAGGTTAGGTTAGGAATGGGTTACAGAGGGTTTAATCTTTGATAAGGGACTGCTTACACAGGAGGTTAGGGTAGGGATGGATTAGATTAAGGTAAAATAGGATTAAGAAGATTGGGTAGGGATGGGTTAGGTAGGATTAAGGTTAGGGTTGGGATTGAGTCAGTAGGATAAAAAAATTTTGGACAGTGAGCATGATACTGTGGCTTTTGCTTCCCTCAGTGAGATTTCGAGAGCATGACATCACGCTCACCCCTATCTTTACCCAGATAGTGCAAGTGTATTTCACTTTTAGACTGAAGTTCAAAACTGTAAGCAATGGTGGTTACTAATTCAGAGAATAATAACATAAACATTCTTCTATGAACTTAGTCTAAAAGTGAAAAGAGTAGTCTGATATCACGCTCAGTACCTCACTTGGAGAATGAAGTGACCATCCTGAATGGGTTAAAAAGGTTGGTTAGGTAGTATTAAAGGTTAGATTAGGGACAGGTAAGGTAGGATAAGAAGTTTGGTTAGGGATGGGTTACTAGTATTAAGGTTTGGTTAAAGGCAGGTAAGATAGGATTAAGTTGATAAGGTAAGACTAAGGTTAGGAACAAGTCAGGACACAAGATTACGGTTAGAAACAGGACAGCTAACCCAGGATTAAGGTTAGACTAAAGACAGGATAGGATTAGTTTTCGCTGATATTTGATTTTTTTTTCAACTAAGCCTTTTTATCAATTTGGTTCTACCTCTTAAGGTGATGAACCAGTGTTTTTTATTTGTACTTGAATAATTAAAATTTTTGTCCGATGGTAGGTAGTAGAGGTCAACATTAAAACCAAAAGTTCCAAACATCTCCAATTACGTAAATCCTTACATCCAAGAATTTGAAGCCATTTAGTGTACAATTTGTATAAACAACGAGGGCTAAAATGCAATTATTTCAGAAAGCTCGTAGAACGTTGATCTTCAAACAGTTCAAATGTAACCGTAGCTTTAAATATAAAGTAATTCAATTTTAACTGTTGAAACTATTATTTTCTTATTCTCACCCTAATAATAGTTTATAGGGCATAAAAACAATATCCAATATAAAAATATCAAAAGGGCTCCTAATTTTTAAAATAAATGTTTAAACTTGTTAGTTTTATTTTAATTTGATGGTTCAAAAAATATATGTATTAATGAGTTAGTCAAAAAAGGGCCAAAAATTTTTGTCAAGATTTAATCCCTAGAAAAGACATTAAATTGGAAATTAATTTCAAAACTTGATATTAAGTAAAAATGGTTTATTCGTTTTTAAACAAAAATTAACAATCAAACTAGACAAATAAACATATTTACAAACGAGCTAAATAAATTTTTACACAATTGCATGAACCAGAAAAATTGCAGGGAAAAAGTTACATTTTTTGGAGGTAATAGTATGATTTTTATTTTTCTTCAATCCCATCTTTCTTTTAGCATTAACTGCGACGTCAAAAATACTGGCTATGGAACAGATGGCTGATCGAATTTAGCGATTACGAGGCCACTCTGCTCCAACAAAATCCAAATCGAAATCTATTCAAGAATAAATTACAACAGGGTTTTATTTTAAAACGGAAAATATGTCCTATTTTCAATATCCATTTATTTCTGTTCTGTATAAAGTAATTACTGTATATGTATATATAGATCACACTCATTATCACAAAACCATTGGATGGAATCAATTTGTATCCAAATTATCAGGTGGTTTATTACAGTCTTTAGCGATGTAGAAAAGAACGTAGGCAGCGTTTGTCTGGAACAAAAATATTTTAAAATTAGAAAATTCATTTGGGAAAAACGGATTGTCAGTCAAATTTTCCGAAATGGACATAGGTACCATTTTTATGATAAAGGAATACAATGTACAAAGATTCTAATAAGGCTACACAAAAATAATTTTAAAAATGTACACATAAAATAAACACTTTAAAATAGAAATTAAATTAAAATGGGACAATAAAGAATTAAAGAAGAAAAATTAATAAAATTTAAAATGAAATTAGTAAAATAAGCGGCCCAGGAACATATTGAGTATAAGTACTGAATTTGTACAATTGCAACTTGTAAGACAGGAGTTGGGACAGGAAGGTAAATTTGTGAGTCATCTCAGCAAGATTAAGGGAAGTGCTTAAGGGTCTCCAGAAGGGATGGATTGGGGAGAGAATAGGGGCTTAATTGGGATAATCAGAATGGAAAGAGTGAAACCAGTGGAAGATAATGTGGGAGCAAGATAAAGTTTTTAGTTTAACAATAAGAACAGCAGGAGTGCCAGGAAAAAATAGATACATGTTTCTACAATGAAGTACTACCATTCAAAAATGAGGATAAATATCTAGGAAATACCTTCTAAAAGAAATTAACTTGGAGCCGCACATTCAACAAATCATAACAAAAAGTAGAATTTCATTAATGGTCAAAAGAAGAACCCTGGGTAAAATTTTGGATCTTGGGGACTAAAACTGAAATTGACATGACTAAACAAGGACTCAGGATGTAACGTGGGATAAATGTAAAAGGGTCCAAAATAGTCTGCAAATTCATCCAAAATCTCCAAAACATGGGAAAACAAACATGCCAGAGAACAAAGCAATTTTGGACAAGCAGACAAACTGGCCAGAGGAGTATCTGCAAAGCTATAGGCTCAGAACTGATAACTGGGATAAAAAAATCAACCACTTGTCCATCTCAGAATGGGTTCTCAAAAAACAAAAAGAGAAGTGGATGACAGTGGTTAAGAACCCTTGCCAAAACTTTCAAACACACAGCTGCAGCTACTTTACTCCAAGCTCCATTCCTTCAGTAGTTTCATTGCTAATTCTTGTTTGTACACAGTAGCCAGTTGCTCTTGCTTTTACTCCGAGAGCAACAGAAGAGGGGGTAGCCTCATGTTTCCTAGCAGACCGAAGCAGTGAAATGACATAGCGATGGGAACGGAGGAGTCCACACGAGGGAAAAGAGAACCTTCTGCACAGAGTAAGGGTGAGGAAGCATTACTTGACCAGAGGGATTATACAGGACAACAAAGCAAAGAGCTCTGGATGAAAGGGAAAATGGGCCTCCTGTACAGAGCAAGGATAGGGAAGCCTTACTTGAATACAAAGGCAATAGAGAAAGAAAGTACTACAATTAGTAGGAACAAGATGTAATTCAGTAACAAGGGAGGGGTGTTAAAGAGGGGAATGGAGAGGACGTTCTCCATACCTTGCCCGGTTGGTGACCCTTTTTATAGAACCTTACACTCTCTTCAATTCCCTTCTTTACCTTCCCACACATTTCCAAAATGGACTACGTCAAACGCGAGAAATTGATAGAACATAAATTGGTCTTAGGCACAACATGGGCATATTCAATGATGATCCCCATTTGTAAGTTAGGCAATAAGGAGGAACCAATTGTCACCCATATTCGAATCGAAGAACCTCGCCCTAAGGTAAAAAAAGATCCGGAAAAACAATGATAAATAAAAATTAAACTACTTCTTAAAAGAAGGATCGAGTCAACTGAACTGAACTAAAGAACAAGTAAAAGTACAATAAGCTGCAATGATAACTAAATACAAATTCCTGCTTTCTAGCATCCTCACAAAATCATCAAGAAAAAGTCCATGAGAAAGATAAAATTAAGTTTAATAGAAATAATATGAACCATCCTTTATAAAAAGTGAAAAAAGGAAATTAGTTTCTGTGTACATACATACATTCATTCGAATTAAATTCATTTTATAAATTTCAGTTTATGAATCTAATAATCTTTTTATTGTGGACGCTTATAATAACAGATTAAGTGTCCGCTTAAGTTTGAATGTACATGTTTCTTTTTTGAAATTTGATTTGTAGGACTTAAAATGCTTAACACGTTCATTCATTTTGGCACTGTTTTGTAAAGACTTTCCCAAAATACAGCAAAAATTTTGATTAAAAAATCTTTTCTCAAAAAATTGTAAAAACAGAACAACAGCTGTAACGAAATTAATGTTTTGCTCTTACCAAAATCTTTTCTGTCTGAATGGGTGAAACCATATTATCATCGAAGTTGTACCAGTTCCCATTGTCCTTATTTTTACAAGAAGCAGTATCTGAAAAAAATGCATTTAAATTCTTTGATTTCTATTTTTAAAAAACATTTCTATTTGGTATCTAATACATTCACAATCTGTAAATTCATTAAAATGTTTAAATAATTAATGAATCAACTTTAAAAAAATAAAATTAAATAAATAAGCCAAAAAATTAAAAAAAGACAACTGAGTCTTAAAAATTTCCATGTTATTAAGAAAAAACAAACACATATTTTAAATATTATTACAAACTATCTTAATATAATTTACATTAGCCTTGAATTCACTGACAGACAAACCATTCTACTGTAAATGTTTCCCATTTTTTAGACTTTTTATACTGTGTTTTCTCCTGTGCAGGGGAATTTTATTATTTTTCTTTACCCATCTTTGGTTTCTTTCTCTTTTTGTTGTTCTATTAGTTAAAAATGAACCCAACTTTTTTTTCATTTATATTCAATAGGTATTTATTTTTTCCCACTCCCATCTCCACTGAGCGACGGGCCTATCTTCGTTGAAAATTTTGGTATATAACAAAAAAAGGTTTTTTGGATTGTTTCATTTATCTCGTTTAGTTCGACGTTTTCAGTACTACCAAAAGCTAGACTGAAAAAACACATGGCCTATATTATGCTCATGATGCAAGTATCAACCATTTTTGTTTGCTGTTCAGAAGCATTGAAAGGAGGAAAGGCCTTACAAAAAAAAGTATACTATGAGAACTTCCATTAAAAAAAGTATTTAGCTAGAAAAGGACAAATTTCCTAAAAGCTGTATCAACATGAAATTTAAAACAACTTTTTTTTTATTGTTTCACAGTAAAAGATTATGTGTCTACCTTCCTAAAACTTTTTTAAGTTAAACTTGAATTAAACTGATCATAACCATTTTTTTTAATGTACTTTAAGAACAATGTAGTAAAGAAAGTTTGCATGTAATCTCAAAATCTTCTGGCATGATTTTGATCAAACTTTTATAGTAAGTTCCTTCTGATCATAGGAATGACATAGACATAGTTTTGACATGTTATTATTTTGTGTAGAGATTAGTGACCATGTTATTATTGCAGTATCAAGTAAAGATATGAAATTAGTAGGCACTGTGCATATCGCACCACAAAGCATTTAGCTAGCTAACTGCTAATCCCCACTGCTGCGATGCTTAATAAGAAAAGGTGGGGATGTACGCAGAGAAGAGTCCAGTATCATGTCCCACCAGCACAGTCAAGCAAACCAGCACGAAGTTATATATATAGTTATATACATAGTTGAATGAAAAACAATGCTGTTTACTGTTTTAAGCAATACACTGCTTCATTAAACTTCAGTCTAAAAATGAAGATACTAGAGTACGATATCAAGTTATCCCTAGTGCCTCACTGGGGAAATCAAGGGGGGCGATATGCTCACTGTCCTGAATGGGTTAACAGCCATGTCAAACACCGACTTTACACGTTTCTCATTACTTATTATTCATTTATCAGTGAAGGATTATGAATATACCTTTCTGAAACGTTTTTAACTTAAAAAAGTAAAATGACAATAAAATTAATTATTAGTAAAATTTACAAATATTTTCTCACAAGGAAATTTAATATATTTTTACAGTTTATACGAGAAGAGAATTACTCCAAGGGGACTCATAGCAGTGTCCGTTAGAGAGGGGTTTAAAATGTTAAAAAAAAATGAAATATAAAATCTTTTTTTCCAGGGAATGCAAAAATTTTCCATTAAAGGAGGTGGTTGCTAGAGGGTTTCACGTATGGCAGTTCAAAACATCACACTATACAAGACAGTTTTAAAATTTTGATTCATCTATTTGATACTTTTGACAAGATAGGAAGGGAAACAACAAATATTTTTATTTTTAAACACGAATTTTGATTTATTGAGGTTTTATTCTGCATAACGGGAGGGGGGGGGGAAGAAAAAAACTTACAGTGCCCAGCACCCATATTTCCATAGTGATTACACACTCCAATCAAATCGTACACTTTTGACGGCTTTTCCTCGTTGATAACATATTTATCCATACACAGATTTGAAATTGGGCAATCAACGAAATCATCTATTTTGTCCCTCCGGTAACGAGTGTAAGAGAACCTCTTCAGATGAACAATCAGCACTTTCGGAAGTTTCCACAAGTCGAATTTTTTCGTTGCTCTCTGATGTTTGTGACAATCTGGGCAATACCTAGATATGACAAGTGATTAAAAACACGTTGGGTTTTTGTTTAAAAACAAATTTATTACCAGGCATCGTCAGCACTCAATTTTTCACATGTCGTGAATAGGCTTAAACAATCATTTATAGATATTTTCCCTTTCTCCCTATTAGAAGGATAAGGGTTAATCAGGTGATCGTGAACTACTGGTCTTTCTTGGAAAAACTTTCTCCTTTGTTCTGAAGTAAACTGAAGGATTAATACTTTGCGTCCATACCTCGGAGGATCATTTCCAGAAAGCAAATCTAAAATAAATTTACATTTATTGACAATAAGTGATTATTAAGATTGTGTAGTCGTTCAAAATGATAAGATTTGAACAAAAAAATAAAATTTATGTCTTTTATTACAGGTGTATCTTCATAACAGGAAATACCATATTTTGGGAGTGGTATTATAAATCATTGCCGTTATAAGAAGAATGTGTTAAATGAAGAAAGGTTGTAAAAGTTTGTACAGATAAAGTGTTCGTAAGTATTAATAAAGTATTCGTGCAGACAACTTATCCCTGTTTCATACCTGATAAATTTATAGTGGTATCGTTGAAAGTTAATTTTTTTGGTTCTGCATTAGTGGAGGAATCCATATAATAAATTTTGTAAAAAGAATCTTCACAACCGATGTTATTAAGAGAGCACTGTCTCTCTAAGTCATTCTCTAACGATGTATCTAAAAATTAAAAATATAAAATTATATTAAATTTCTACATTCATAAAATTTTTCGCTTTGAATATAAAGTAATTAAGAAATAATCACCGGAATAAGAAGAAACAGCAAAGGAATTTGAATTAAAGGAAGAAGAACTGTTACTTCCAGAAACGTTGCCAGGGAGGTTAAAATGTCTTTGCATTTTTTCCAAGAGCACTTCATTCAAATCATCGTACGTAATCGGCGCTTTAGGGATGGTAATTAGAAATGGAATACCGAACAAGTGGTTCGGCAAGTATTTGTCATTGGGTTTACAAAGCTCCCAAAAACAAACTGGAACTATCATAGTATCTTTATCTGAGGCGGGGACCACAATTGGAAGTTCAAACCTGAAACAAAAATGAAAGGTATTCTGATGGTTATTATATTAAAAACAAGAGAGAAAAACTATGAAGACATTCATTTCGTTATTTTAACATGGATATGTTTTTAGGCTGGATACACAACTTTTTTCGCATTACTGGAGAGTGAGCATAGTTAGGTTAAGTGGGACAGATTTGTACTCCTTCCCAGTTAGGTTAAATATAGTTGGGATTAGACTAGGAAGAGTTAGGGACAAGATATGTTAAGTTAGAGAAGGTTTAGGTGAGGTGGAGTAGGGATGGGTTGCGTTAGTTAGGGACAGGTTAGGTTAGGTAAAGTAGATCTAGGGATGTATTAATTTAAGTACAGTCAGGGACAAGTTAGGCTAAGTTAAAATGAGATAAGGACGAGTTAGGAACAGGTTAAGCTATGATGAGTTAGATGGGTTAAATTAGGATGAATTAGGTTAAGTACAGTTGGGGACAAGTTAGGTTAGGTTGAGTTAGGAATGGGATAGGTTAAATTAGAGAGGTTTAGGTGAGGTAGAGTAGGGATGGGTTGCGTTAGTTAGGGACAGGTTAGGTTAGGTAAGATAGAGGTAGGGATGTACAAGATTAAGTACAATTGGAGACAAGTCACGTTAAGTTAAAATGAGATAGGGAAGAGTTAGGGTAGGTAGGCTACATCTACGATTCAATATTTTTCCATGAAGCAGAAAAATATGTGTGTGCAAAATGCATGTTTTATCTACAAAAATGCTCAGTTAAGTTTTTATTTTGCTTTGTATGGATGAAAAACCTCATTGGCAAAACTAAAAAGGATGGGTGATTTTAATTAAACAGGGTAATACATTTTCTCTTCTGCTATATATCACATAAATGAAATATCGGTTAATTGACTGAGAATGAAATAATACATACACTTTAATGACATCTTTCTCTTCAATATGATCGATGCTATCTTCATTCCCGTAAAACTTATGGAAATGGCATTGTGTTATTTCTGCAACGAGCATCTGATCTTGATGGATCCCCGTCCTGACTGACACTTCTTGACACAACTCTCTAATTGTATCTTTTCTTGCAAGTATTAATCGGTATTTGCATTCTCTCTTTGAGCCATCAAATGGAACGTAGGTTATCTAAAATCATACATTACATCGTAATTCAATATCAAAATTGGTAATCAAGAACAAAATAGTGTGGGTTGGCACTTTGATGGAATAGCTTAACAAGCTGCAGGCCTCTCTGGCCTGTACCAATACTCTATGCTGAATTAATTTAAATAGTTGAAAATTACAATGGTCAAATCGACACACCAGGAAAGAAGGAGGTGATAACCACAGTCAACGGGTTGAACCCTCTTTCAAATGCTGATTATATTCCCCCATAATCACAGTTATTAGGGGTACACTGATGTGTTATATGTGAAAATGAACTTTTAAGAAATACAAAAATACAAACCGTAAGAGCCCGATCCATTTTGCATGAGGGTAGAGGCAGCGATAAATAGCAGAAAGGATCAAATGTAACAGAAGGTCTTTCACATTCTGGACAAATGACCGTGGATTTCAACAAACCATGAAAGGTGTCGACAATTATAGAATCGTTCCGTTTCTTATAATTTTCCCATGCTTCAAAAGCTGCTATCTAGAAACAAAAAAATATATATACATAACATAATGTATTATGTAATATCTGAACAAATTTGGCAAAACTAATAACCTTGTTTTATTTAAAGAGAAAATATGACACAGTATTAAACTCATACAATGCAAGTACAGACAATGAGCATAAGTAAAATATAAAATAAAGGACTTAAACCACTTGAATTGTATTACCTTCTCGTCTTTTCCAGCTTGGTTACAGATTTCTATATATGGTTTTTGTTTAATTTTATTCAAATCTTCGTGAAGACCATCAAGTAGAAATGTTAACAGTTCTTGTGAGTCATGTTGCTGATAACCACTAAACGATGGATTAAACTTGCCCACTTGTGTCTAAAATATATTTGAATTGATAAAAATTAGAAAAAAATGTATATTTACTTTACTACTTACTTTAAACTCAGAGGGGATAGTTTCACTGTATTTCCCTGACCACATCTTCATGATCAATTCACCATATGCCTTGGCAATTTCACCCTTCATGCCCAACGGATTGCTTATGTTTAATTCTTTCAAGTGCCTCTCGGACAGAAAATATTCAGTGATAACTGGAACGTTACTCATACACTAAAATATATTTTTTTAAGTTAATTAAGATTTAAGTCACTCTGGGAATCAAGTTACTTTAACATAACATGAATCAAAAAGTTTTCTGGAAAGTGTTTTTCCTTATTGTTAATTTAAACTATTAAAGGAAAATTTACCTGTAATACACTATTCATAAAACAGGCATTTCCAACATTGATTAACCCACATAAACCTGGTGGTGCCGAACGGCTTTGGGTTTGAGCCATGTGCCTATGCCGTATTTGGACAACTGTTTCAGAATTATAAATCCGACTGAAAATTAAAATTAAATAAATAACGTCAACATATTGTGAGTTATCAAATATAAAGTAAAAAAGCAGGAGAATAAAGTAGGAAGCAGGGATGAGAAAAGATGATATAGAAACGAGAGAGAAATAAAGAGGTAAAGTGGAAAGCTGGAAGAAATTATGGCAAGGAAGAGGGAAAGTTAGTATAAAGTGTGAAGAAGGGTGAAGGTTGAGGAAAGTTGGCAATGACAAGTAGGGAGAGAAATGAAGAGATGTGCGAAGCAGGGAATGAAATGAAGATGTAAAGTGAAAAGAAGAGTAACAGGTTGATGAAAGATAGTAGATGAGAAGAAAGGAGAGTTTGAGAAAATCTTGGAAATGAAAAACTGCTTTACTCTGGAACTTAAAATACCCCCACCCAGTTAAGGCTATACTACTACACAAATATACAATTTAAAAACCCTGCAATGGAAATAAAACTAAAAAGGGACAATTAAAAGTCTTTGGTGATAAAGAGACAAGAATTAAAGGTGGAAATGGAAGGAGCTTAGCAGATAGAGTGAAGAAGGGTCAGAAGGGCGGGAGCGAGACAGATTGTACAGAGGAATTGAAGATGAGTGATCAACTAATAGAAGAAGGAGCCAAGGATGTATTGCCTGCGGTAGGAAGTATAACCACTTCAAATCGGTGTACAGATCAGTCACATCGGACCTGCCCTTGGGGAGCTGAAGATAAAACATACAAAACAATTCATAAGACATTTAACACATTCAGTACGGACGCTCAGTCACACCCTAAATTAAAATCCAATGGGCCAGTAGGACGCTCTCGAGTGTCCTAGACCCTTTATTTTCTTTGGACAATTTATGGGGTAAGCTCTGTGTGGAAACATTTAACCTGTATCTATCCGGCCTCATTTTGAACCAAACTATCTTATAGAGCATTTCGCCCCACTTGTTCCCAATCCAGGTTTTTAAAAAATATTTTACTTTGTGTCTCACAATTACAACAAAATCTGTAATTAATATGTAAGTATATGTTATTACCGAAGTTTTCATGCATTCATTTCTTTAAATTGATTTATCGGAACTTAAATTACAGTTAAATTATTGATTTCAGGTTCGTATTGATTCATTCAATTTTTTGGAATTCGGTAGGTTCCTAATTTTTCTGAGGTATATATGGTTTTTTAGAGTATTTATGGCCCTATTTATTAGTACGTTTATAAATGGTTCATATTTTGTTTTAGGAAAATCTGAAAAATGGTCATTGTTGCCAACTCCCAGGGTCTTCTGGCCTCCAAAAAAAGGCAAAAAAACTTTAAAAGATGCATGACAGACTTCATGCAAATATAGAACTACTAACCAACCTGTTTAGTGTTTTAAAATTTATCACAATTATTAATAGTTGTACACTTAATTTATGAAAGTATTTTGTTGTACGTTCAATTTTTTAGATTGTATTTTCATAGATTTCATTTTTTTTTTTTTAAATACATTTTGTACAAAAATTTATGATAAAAGGATGGTAAACAAAATATACATACTATACATTGTAACTGTATTTTTTTTGTACCTGACTAAAACAAATTCTGTTACAGACTTTGTCTCAGGGTACATTTACCTGACAACGAACAACTCTATTTTCAGATAAAACTAGGAAAATGCAAGGACAGAGAAATGTGGAAAACAGTGTATAAATGTAAGTGTATTAGGTTCCTGAACAATGAAATAGTGCCAATTGGCGGGGGACACTCCTGAGCATCCTACTTTTTTAAGCAGGTAGTGCGGGTCCCGTGTCTTGGCTACAAAGGCTGTAAGGCACTGCCTTACTGAATGTGTTCAGTTTATCTTCAAGCTCCCCACTGAGTAAGAAGAGAAAGGAGGTTTTATGATTTTAACAATTTTCTTGCGGTTAATGTTTTGTACATATTTGTTTAACTTATTACTCAATAACAATAGTTTATAGTCTAAAATAGATATTAATAAAAATATAACTACAATGGTAAAAGATTTGCATGCTATAACTCACCCAGAAGGCCCTTGGTGAATTAACCTGTCTTTATTACTTTTTACAGGATAAGGATGCCTGGAAACAAACGTAATAATAGATAGGTTTACTTGTCTTATGCTATTTTTGATTCTATGGCAAAGGACATTAGTCAAAAGAGCCACTCTGCAATAATTACCTTTCTGGCCATTTTCCATCCTCTGACATCGTCTCAACAACAAGGCAATTCTGACATCCTACTAAATCAGTTTCGCAAATTTTTTTGTATTTGTAGTCCTCGATTGGCTCATTGATCAAGCCTTCAATAAATAGCCTCACTTCGCTGTCTTTCGGTATATCGAACGGTTTACATAACCTTTCCACAACACGAGCTGAGAATGGGTAAAAGTTGTAGACAAGGTGTGTACTACTGCAGGTAAATTTTTTATCAGACTTACCTAATGTTTCAACTCTGCTAACTTGCAGGGTTTCTCCTCGAGAACGATCGCCATTTTTATAACAGGATAAATTTATTGGGTAAACTTCCACAATAGGGTAATGCTCGTTATTTGAGATGGCCTAACAGAAATGTGTATTTATGTGTTAATAAAATGTAAAAATATTTTATTATAAATTTATGTTCACAAAGTCATCCACTTCATCATGACAGTTCAACAGGCAAAAAAAGTTTATTATTGAAAAGTGCATGAAGAACTTAAATTGATATTTAGTATTTTAATAGTTAAAAAAAAAAAATACAGTCAATATGGGGATCGTGGTTAGGGCAACCGATTCAAATTTATCATGATACCAGGTTCCTGAGTTCAAATACCACCAGTCCATGACTGGAAAAAATATTGTAAATTTGTTCTAACCAATTGCCTGCGACATCCAATTGGACTCAGTTGGACGTTAAGCCCTCCTGAATGACAGGTATTACTCTACTTTTCACTTTTACATTTTACATACCTGTCTCGCAATTGGTTCGGTGTCTTCTATTACACCATACCAGTCTGACAGAAGATTCCATGTATCTTCAGAAACAAGTTCAAAGTCAATCTTTTCTGTGAGTGCAGATCTTAAAGTATGCTTTTCATTATCTAAAAATCAAAATACACCATAATAATGTTTGCATATTCAAGAAATATTTTATACAAAATGTATTACTTCACATAAATCTATAATATGGCATAAAGAAAATTGGAAAATTGAAAATATGGCAAAAAGAGGGAAAATTCAAACGGTTATAGGTTGAGATGAGGAGTTGGTGTCCGAGGGGATCGAAGTCACAATAGCTCAAGTGGTTTAAGTAGCAGTGTATTGAGCCGAAGATTGTGGGTTCAAATCCCCCTGGTGAAAATAATTTATCAACTCAATCGAAAACTTTAGATAAAAAGAATAATTAATTGGCATAATTAATATGATCAATTATGACCTCTAACAAATAAGGATTAATTTAAATCTATAATTTTTTTACTGTCCCAAACAGATTTTCAAAAACAGGAAAGCAATTTGTTCTTACATCAAGACCGACCAATCAGTGGCCACAGTACAGTCAAACTTCCACTAACAGACGAATTTATTTTCTTCGGTACTTTACTAAGTACTTCTAATAACTGGACATTCCAATAAATGGACTTGAAAATTGCATTTAAATTTTTTCAATGAAAAAATCCCTTATTTATGAGCAGACAGCAGAAAGAAAAACAACGGATAATTCAATGAATGACAGATAACTTTTATTGATTCGAGATTTTTCTCACATCTCGGACTAAATATTATATTAATAAATACTGTCAGAAAATAATTATAAATTTGTGATTAATTTGTATTTTTTATTGGTAATTAATACATATTAAGATTAAAATAATACATTAATAAAGAGATTAGTAAATTAATTATAAACTTAAATAATAAAAAATAAATTAATTAATTTGATTAATTTATAAGACTAATAATATTAAGGTACATATTTAAAATAGGAGGCAAATCAAAATCTATTGTATTATTTATGATTATTCGGAGATCATGAGGTCTGGTGTGAAGTAGGTTTTAGAAAAATGTTTTTCTAACAATATTTCAATGAATAATCATTGACTAACGGTCACTAAACACTACACATATATTATTCGATTTTACATTTTCTAATTTCAAATTTCTCAAAACAATCTAGTGAATGCTGTTGATTTAAAGGGTCTTAAGTTTACCGCTGGAGGAATAAAGTTCTCTGCACGGCTGAAATTAGTGCAGCCTGATGGAACACTGTAGCAGAACTGGTGCATAAATAATTTCACCTGAATAGTCGTAGATCCAAAAGTTCTTTGACTGCAGCACTGCGATTCAGCCTGCTGGCAGCAGTTGATTCAGAACCCCGAGCAGAGCGATATGCACTAGCCACAGTAATCCCCTTTCCCCAAATGTTCACTTATGTGAAGTTTGACTGTACATTTCATTTTTTGCGATGTAGACTGTTTCATTCTGTATATACCATCAAAAACTACAATTTTTACTTTTAACATATTGTAATTGTCATTAATTTATTAGTTTCCAGTAATTATTTTCTTTTCATCCAAACAGTGTATGTCATCTTAATCTGTGATAACGTATAGCATTTATGAATTTTCAACATACCGATTAATGGGCGATTATCTATTGGGCCAGGATGTGAGACATCAAGATGACGACCATGCTCAGCTAATCCTAAAAACTCTTTCAAAGATCGCATCCATTTATGGCCTATCAAATACCTGAAATTAAAACAAAGCAAGTTTAGAAATTTACAACAAATAACAGTTGCATATTGAAAGACTAATTTTATTTCTATTTAAATACATCTAAATGTCATTTTTCATTCTGGGGATGCCTGTCGATGAATGATCCCAAAATTCTGACAAGAAATTTCAAATTCAAATTGGGTCAAAGAACATCTTGTTTGGGTAACAGGTGAAAGAAGAAGGGCATTGAAGAGGCCGATAAATTAGTCAAGGAAAGTTCAAAAGGAAGGAGGAAAGGACACCTATTGACCCTGAACCCTTTTGGGGCACACGGAATTGTGAAAAAGATAGATCCATAAGGTGGGTTGAGGTCTGTGGTTCAAAAGGAACTCCAACATGTGAATAGGTTCATCTAAGGACCATCAACTAATAGTAGAACGATAAAGGACTAAAATGATAGTAGGACTGCTGGCAGGACACTGCAGACTTTACAAACATATGTATAGACTAGAAGAGGCACAAGCCTGTGCAGATATTGCCAGAAAGAAGAAGAAACGAAAGAAAGAGCATGTCTGTTGATGCGAATGTATCCAAGATTCCAACTCCTGGAAGAGAAAAAAACCAGGCCGGAAAGAAACACATAAGAACCCTTAACCAAACTTTGGGACCCAATAAAAAGCACAATAGACAAATATAAATCAGTCTGAAAGTTGTAGAAAGGCCGACTCCCAGTAATCTAAATATAAAGCTAAAACCTCAACTAAACTTGTACATACCTTTAAAGTGATAAATAAAAATTATACTCTGAGTAGACATATTGTCATTAATAGGCATTATATTGACTACAATTACTGAACTAAAGGCAATTAAGTTTTTGCCCATTAGTACGTATCATACTAGGACCGTGTCACGCCTGGAAAAAACCGCTCCGATCACTACTATGCTCACTACAATGATTCAGCAATGTTCTATATGCAAAGGCTTTTTCTGGGTTGGACTTGGCCCATGATTCATTATCTCGATGAAGGGGAAGAGAAGTATAATATGGTGTTTCAGGATTCTTCTTAGGGACATCCAAAGTGATGTATTAGAGGCTGTAAGGTAGTGGTAACTATCTGCCATGTGAGGCCCAATGTAAACCATTGAGATGTTCATCTCCTAGTTTGGGGGTACATGTCATGGAATGGACCTTCATTGACAATATTGTGAATGCCAAGAAATATGTCAACATTTTGGGCATAATTTAAAAAAACAGTGCCGAAAAGGTGGGAATCAAGGACACTTTTATATTTCAACAAAGTAATGATCCCAAGCACACAGCAAACAAAACAAAAGAATGGATGCTGTACAACATTCCCCGGAAATTGAAAATGCAACCAGTCTCTTGACATAAATGTAATAAAACACCTATGATAGCTGTTAGACCTAAAAGTAAGAAAAAATAAGCTTTCTTCAAAAAATGTGTTGAAAGATACTTTATCTGAGGAATAGCATAAAATTGGAAAAGAAGTGCACAAAATCTTGTTTCATTGATGCCAAGGAGGCTAAAGGCTGTCACAGATGACAATGGTATATAGACAAAATATAAATCCAGTTCATAAAAACCTTACATTAGGTTGCAACATAAGTCTTTGTACATAAATTGTTATTTAAATTTCAGTATAAAATGTATTTGATATATGAAAATTATTCCTCAAAATAGACCATCGTTATCAACTACTTTAACCCATCTTTCTGCCAGAATTAGAACATGGTGGTGATACCAGTCCTTGGTTTTCAAGGTGAAGAACTCCTCACATCCTAATTTCACATCCTCATAGTTTTCGAAGTTCTGGCCTTTCAAAAAAATACACCATTGACCGGGAAAGACCATAGTCAGATGGTGTGATATCAGGGCTTTAAACAGGGTGGGGCAAGATGTGCCTGACACCTTTCATTTCTGAATTTTTTTCTTTGGGTAAATGATGGCCAGGAGCGTTGTCTGCTGAAACATCGCTTTATCCCGATTGAGCAAAGCAGGGTACTCCTCTTTTAAAACCCCATATACTCTTTTGAGTTGTTCACAGTAAAGCTCAGAGCAGAGAATCAATAGCCCTGCCATCTGGAAACGCTCATAGTGCAAAACACCCTCATAATTACACCAAACACAAAGCATAATCTTTTTTCCAAATATCGATCTTGGTGAACCTCTGCTTGAACTGCTTTGCGGGGTATCCAGTATTTTTGGTGGATATTGCTTATTACAATTACAATTTTGAAACAAACTTTTACAGATATACGTGATCTGTTGTATATTTCGGACATTAAGCTTTTTTAAATGGTGGCTTATTATTGGATGTGAAACCCCCGTTCGAGTGGTCACCTATGGATCCTTATTGACTGACTCGAGTAATTCAGCATCATTCAACAGTGAACCGACATAATCTAGGCTCGTCTTGAAGGTTGTTGTTCGTAGAATAGAACCGCCTGAACCAAAACGCTGCAGTGATACGATGCACATTTTCACTTTCCAATGGACAAATTTCCTCAGGTGCTGCCTTCGCACTCAGTACTTTTTTCCAGTAGTGCCTCAGTAAACCACGAATGACATTTTTTTCTTCTGACATTTTTGGTGAGATTTATAAAATGGAATGAAAGGCACGAGTCAGTTTGTATACATAATTAAATAACAGATTAGTCAAAGTACACAACGATGAATGCATTGTTTACATCAGATTCGAATAAGGATTAAAATAGAAACTTTAATATCACAAAAATTAACTGTTGCATTATGTAAATTTTCAATTTTTCTTTTCAAATCAAGTATTTTTTTAAACATTTTATGAAATAAAAATATTTAAAAATAAATTTTTGTATTTCTAAAGCAGAAACCTAAACAAAGGTAAGTGGGCCAATGTTTTTTTTTTTTTTTTTTGACTGGTAAAAGAGAATTTTTTTGAAAATTAACTCTTGCGTTATGTAAATTTTTAAGTTTTCTTTTTGAATCATGTATTTTTCTAGCTATTTTGTGAAATACAATTATTTAAAACTAAATTTTTGTATTTTTACAGCAGAAACCTAAACAAAGATAAGTGGGCCAATGCTTTTTTAACTGGGTAAAAGTGAATTGTTTTGAAAATTAACTCTTGCGTTATGTAAATTTTTAATTTTTCTTTTTGAATCATGTATTTTTCTAGCTATTTTGTGAAATACAATTATTTAAAACTAAATTTTTGTATTTTTAAAGCAGAATCCAAAATGAAGATAAGTGGGCCAATACTTTTTTGACTGGATAAAAGTGAGTTTTTGTTTTTTTTAATTAACTCTTGAGTTTTTCAGTTTGTATACATAATTAAATAACAGATTAGTCAAAATACACAACGATGTATGCATTGTTTACATCAGATTCGAATAAGGATTAAAATAGAAACTTTAATATCACCAATTAGTTAATGCATAAAGACTTTTGTAACGACCTAGTAAGAAATAAACAAAGTGTGCCAATACTCTTTTGACTGGATAAAAGTTAATTTTTTAAAATGAGCCGTTGGAGTATGTAAATTTTCAATTTTTCTTTTCAAATCTTGTATTTTTCTAGCTATTTTATGAAATAAAAATGTTTGTATTTTAAAGCAGAAACCCAAACAAGGATAAGTAGGCCAATATTTTTTTGACTGGTAAAAGAGAAATTTTTGAAAATTAACTCTTGCGTTATGTAAATTTTTAAGTTTTCTTTTCCAATCATGTATTTTTCTAGCTATTTTATGAAATAAAAATGTTTGTATTTTAAAGCAGAAACCCAAACAAGGATAAGTAGGCCAATATTTTTTTGACTGGTAAAAGAGAATTTTTTTGAAAATTAACTCTTGCGTTATGTAAATTTTTAAGTTTTCTTTTCGAATCATGTATTTTTCTAGCTATTTTATGAAATAAAATTATTTAAAACTAAATTTTTGTATTTTTAAAGCAGAAAACTAAACAAAGATAAGTGGGTCAATACTTTTTTGATCCACAGTATCCACAGTATGTTGCTTTTTGCTGCTAGATCAGTTTGTCCATTACATGCTGCAGCGACAAGGGACCGACATAAATCTTACTGTTATTTCCATTAATTTGAGTGATTTAAGGACATAAAGTATGTCTTGCAACCAAGGATGGTAAGTAAACAGTGTTTTCATTGCTAATAACACTGAAAGTGAATCAACGCAGATCAGTAGATTTTTTTCCCCCCATTGGGTGTATTTTTAGGTTCAAAGGATTATAATTAACCTTTTACATGTGAAAAAACAAGAAAGGGAATAAAAGAAAATCGGTTCTAAAAAAGTGTCGAGCACTAGCAAAAGGGTGGAAATTGTCATGTGATAACACGTGGTTATCATCTAAAACTAAAAAGTTAGGTAGAATATTAATAACATAGTATAAAAGTTAAAATCATTACCATGTTTCTCCTGCCACGATGGATTTGCTCAGCTTTTTCGTCAGTATTTCCTTCTGTTCTTCGTTAGAAGGCATTTCGATCAACTCCCCCATGATGTAAAGTTTAGATTTTTAATAAATAATTATAATATATAAATAATAATACGAGAGAGAGTGAGAGAGGGTCTTGAGGAGAAAAAGTCCCTTTCGATATCACAGTTTTCCGAGTGGGATGTGCGACTGGCGCGGTCTTTCTTCCAACGCGAGATCCCGTGTGCGATTGTAGACGAAGAAGAAGAAGAAAACAATCGCCTCCGTCGTGCAGAGGGTGGCAGGCTAAAGTCTCGCCGTCGCGGATCTCGGCATCATTCGAGACTGGGGATCCGTCTGAGAGGCCGTTCAGCAATGCGTTCGACGACGACTCGGGTGGGCTTTTCGAGAGACGGACAAAGACACTGCCGACTCGCGAGACTCCGCTGTGAAAACGAAATTCGAAAGCGGTGGAACCGAGACCGAAATGAGAAAATAATGCCTTGTAATGGAGGAGCAAAGCGCGACACTCGTGGACAAAAGAAGAAACACAGAATCAAGGAACGCATCAACAATAAACAATAATTCTTCATTATATCTATTTTAGCTTATTGAACATATCGTATTCCCAAAGAAAAAGCACAACTCAAAAAAAAAAAAAAAAACGACCGAAGAGATAATGCAAGTTTACTTTTTTAACTTATTTTTTTATTTTCAATAATTAACGGCTTAAATCTAACTATATAAAAAGTCAGGTTTCTAATATAAACTCACACATAAAATTAAACATAAATTAAATACAAATAATAAACAATAATCCTTGATTAATTCTATTATAGCCTATTGAATATATCGCATGCCCAGAAAAAAAGCACAACTCATTAAAAAAAATTACAGAAGAGATAATGCAAGTTTACTTTTTGTCTTATTTCTTATTTTCAATAATTAATGGCTTAATCCTACTATATAAATTTAAAAAAGTCAGGTTTCTAATACAAACTCATACATAAAACTAAACATAAGTTAATACAAATAATAAACAATAATCCTTGATTATTTCTATTGTAGCTTATTGAACTGAAAAAAATCACATCAAAACTCGTCAGTAAATGCATTCAAAATCTCAAAAACCTGTGGACACACCACAACCTGATATCTTGTGTGCCAGTACACCACAGGAATTTGGGTAACGGAAAAGCAGACAGACTGGCCAGACTCTGCAAGACCGTACATAGGCCCTGAACCTACTTGGTATAACAGATACATAATCCTCCATCGCAGAATGGGTCCAAATAAAACAAAGGGGAAGTGGATAAACTCTATCTGCACTAGACATAGTAAATTTATGCTAAAACTACTCTCACTCTACTGGATAATTCTGCCGCAGTTGGAGAAGGCTAGACTCACAAGGGTGATAGTACTATTAACTGGTCACTGGCATCTGAGAAAATATCTACATATCATGGACATATATAATGATGATTCCATCTGCAGATTATGTAATGAGGAGGAGGAGGAAACAGCCACCCATATCATCTTCGAATGCGAAGCAACAGTTAATGGAGATTTAACCTAACCTTCTGCCATCGGCCTTCTCACAATACATTCACGCTAATAAATTTACTCTCAATATACACAAAGAAACACAAAACAAGATATATATACAAAGTATTAAATGCAATAAAACAATCCTGTTTCCTCTAAAAATCTCAACAGGGAACCCAAATAATTGCTGCCGTGCTCAAGCACAATTCTCATATCGGTTGGCATTCTTCACACTCTCCAAGGACTGGCATCCTTCAATTAAATGGTACACATCAAGCAACCTTTCTCTACATGCTGGACACGTACACAGGTTTTGACCCAAACATAAGTGTCCATGTGTCAACCTCACATGGCCTATTCTTAATCATGTGAAGATAATCCCTCTCTCTTCTATGAGTCTGTTCCTCTGAGGGGCATTCATCGACAGTGCTCTTGATACGTAAGAGCTTCTCTGTCGATTGGTCCATCGAGTGGGCTGGATCACAGTGGTCATATTTGGTGATTGGGCCATTCAGCCCTTAATCATCTTGTCCAAAATTCAGATAAACACTAAATGATATGAACAAATTGTACATTTACAAGGATGACGCTCAATCTTAAAGCATTTTAATCATTATTTGTAATGTAAACACATTTATAATTTTTCTAATAATTAATTTAATTTTAATCATTATAATGAAGCGGTAGTAAAAAATTTAATCTTAAAGTATTTTATAAAACTTTGTTGAAGTAATTTACGTAGAATATCTAGTGCTCCATCACCCTTTACACCTATTATATAACTAACCTAATTGAGGATAGATGGGGTACTCAATATTCCATTATTGACCCTCTCACACTATAAATTCACGCTAATAAATTCACTCTCAACACACGCTAGGTGCACAAAACTATCATTACTATATACAATAGAACAACCCTGTTTCTTCCAAAAAACGTCACAATGGAGCCAGATATATCTGTAAATATTTGTAATTATAGATAAATAAATAAATTATTAATTGGTGTGTGAAGGTTCTAAAAGATCGAATCTCGCGCTCGTCGCTTGGGAAGTTGGGAAGGACCTGGCGCTGTGTAGCTGAAGCGCTGGACTGTGTAGAGATGAGCATCGAAGGGAAAATAAATAAATTTAAAAATAAATAAATAAAAAAAGTGATGTTGACTATAGTCTACACATCGATGGTTTTTTGAGTCCTCAAACCACAAATGCATACATTATTTTTTATGTGCCACTTTAGAAACATACGCTAATTTTTCAAACTTCGCCGTTTCTGAACCTTTGTTAGGAACTTGATTAATAAAAATTGTTTATTTTTTTCATAACATTTATTAGGAATTATTTTTGAGATGAGCATCGAAGAAAAAAATTACAATGAAACACTACCACATCTTCTCCGGAACGCAATTAAAAAACGTAGCTTTAAAGTAAATTTATCCTCTACGCGATTCCTGGTTTCCGAAATAATCTGTCCAGCTTTGGAAAATAATCGTTCAGAGGGAACAGATGTGCCACTAAGGCAACAAATTGAACAGCTCCTGACAGGTCACTTTTATATCAGAAGAATGTGGGTCATTCACTATTCACAAAAGTGAAAATTAGGAAAAACTGAAACAGTTTATAAAACATCGACAGCCCACCATCGATGGTCAAAAAACATCGACACAGCAACATAAATGTTGAAAACATCGAACACCGGTTGCCTACCGTTGATGTTTTCTAAATCGATGCTCATCCCTAGGACTGCGACTGTTATATCTGGCCAAACTGTCAAAAGTATGTACTCTGACTTGGTTTTCGTCGGGGTTTATTTTCGTCCTGAGGTGTTGTGTCATTGGGCTGGTTTGGGTTGCGGTATGCCGTTGGAAGAAACTCATGTGAATTTTGTCGGCTGACGATCTGGCATTGTCACGACATCGAAATGGAAAATGACGAGGACTACGAGCCAATTTTGGAGGTGCCGATTTAAAATTTTACACCATTTTTTTCATACAAAATAAAAGAACCACCAGTTTTTTGTTTAAATAAACGCAATCAACATGACTTTCATTCTATCAGTAGTTCTTGAATTTTACGCCCACTCAAAAAAATTGAGAAATTAAGATTAAATTATAACAGGTTGAAAATTTTCGAATTTAGAGATAAATTTCGTTTGCAACGTGTATTGGCAAACGTTTACCACGTAAACATTCTGCAGGCTAAATACTAAAGGCAAGGAGATTCGATCACAGGGATAAAGTTTAGCCTCCGTTAAGACCAAAGCATACCGAATGGTATCAAGCAACATATGTATGATTGGTGCAATGATTTGCACCATAATGGTAATGACCATGAGAAAAAAATGGCCCAGCTGTCGGACATAAGGGCTTTGAACAAATGATGCTAAACTCTTGGGTGCAGAGCAGTCGATGGCCAAAATCATCAAGGAAAAATGGATTTTCGGTTGTCATTAATTAGGACAAACGTGTTCTTCCCGATAATAAAGTAACGAATGTCATGCAGATTAAGCCTAACTTCTTGGCTCACCGACCTGAGTGGCCATGACAACTTCGCATTTCTCCGAGGATCAGGATATGGAACATCAAATTCCACTTTGCAAATTACAAAAACCCACAGAGAAAAGAACGAATCTTCGCGAGGTGAGCATCAGAAAAACAAAGCCTGTTATTAGACAAAGAAATAAACACACAAAAGGGGAAAAAAACAGACAATAGTATTTATTTTTCATAACTCAGTATTAAGATTAACAGCTGACTTAAAACATAAACACAATATTAATAACTTGTTGCTTACCTTTATAGAGTGTGACTAATCGTTTGTTCCTTAAAAACATGGTTTTAAGTCAAAAAGATCTCACCCGGGAGTTGCTTTGGCCAACGACAGACATAGTTTGCATTACATAGCCCATGTCTTGGGTATTCAGTGCTCTACCATTCATGATGGTCTACAGCAGTTTAGGGCCACCGATGTCGATGGAAGAGAAGATAGTAATCGACCACGATGTACGACAACTACAGGCAATCGTTTTATTGCTCTTACCATACTACAAAACTGTAATTTGACAGCTTCCTTGATTTGGTATATAATCAACAATAATTGGTCCATTATGTAAGGGTGTGCTTTAAAACAGACATCACAAGGCTTTGTGAGAATAGCCTAGTCTCTAGACTTCGTAAGTTCTCTACTACTGGAGAGGCATTGAGTAGAAAAGCGATTATTCGAAAATCAGCATCTTGCTTGGACACTTGAAAACACATAAACCCCCAGCATACCCAAGAGACTTGGTGGTCCCTGTAGCTATGTGGAGACATCCAACACAGTGATATTCACCCAGAATCAGGAAGACATGTTTATGAATATTGGAAGTAAGCCGATGTATATATCGTAATATATGCAACCATACATGGTACCACAACACAATATGCAGCTATAAATTTAGATTAATGAGGTGGCATTCAAACAATCATGCTGAGCTGTTGGTAATTCTAAAAACACTGGATTGGGTACAGACATCAAAGGAAACTTGCATCAACATTAGTAGCAATTCAGATGATCAGCAACCTAATCTCTTATCTGGAGACAGTCGAGTAAATTAGAAAGTCCCTACTTGACCTGAAAAGTGGAAGTGGGAACTGCAGTGGCTGAGTAGTTACGGTATTTGACTCGTATTTGCCACTCTAACGGTTCTTGGTTCGAATCCCTGCAGAGCCCATGGCTTTTTAATTGATTACAGTATGAAAAATGTATTTAAAGTGATTTGACCCCTCGTTCATGATACCAGATAGGTAGTTCTTAAAAAAAAAAAAAAAAAAAAAAAAAGCAATAGTTTTGGTATAGACTCATGCAGGACATTCAAGAAATGTACTGGCTGACAAGCTGGTAAAAGAGGCAGCAAGGAACATCACACTTGAAATAGATATTTGTAAAACTTCAGAAATGTATATATTCCAGAATCTAATGACAGAAGCTTTCACGACTGGGATTTGAAAAGAAATATATTAAATGTTTCACATGGTTGTGGCTGACTACCTGTTCTTTATCAAACAATCTGGGGGTAAACCAGTTTGGGATGTAGACATGAGGTTTGTGGCACTGATAAACGTGTATTTTGGATAAATAAATTGTTTTCAACTTTTTCTAAAAGTTAAATCAATTAGTTTTGCCAATCTGCCTTCAAAATGTTATGGCATTCATATAATTGTATTCTTTTGCTGTAATACAAGTCATTGTATAAACATGCCTCCATTTTACTGTTTTTAATTGTTTCATAAACATACCTCTATTTCAATAATCCATGAAAATGGTGGAAATGCGTACTTTGATTGGGTAAAAGGTTGTGCAGGAATCACAGGCAGCGAGGAGCAAAACTGCCAGAGGATCCATCCTTGGAACTTATGTCAAAGTTCCTAAATCAAGATTGTAAATTTTTAAAACCTGCTTCTTGAAACAATGAATAACAGGATGGACTCAGTTGTAGACCCACCAAAGGTTTTTTCCAAACTGAAAAAAAGAACGGAACTGGAAATACAAAACTTCTGACAGATCTGCAACACTTTTTTCTCATATTATAATAAGATAAAAAGCTATGGCTTATGCCGGGATTCGAACCCAGACTTTAGGATATGAAGTTTTTGTAACTTTACATTAATTTAGACCCTCCAGAATAAAACTTTGCTCTAGAAATTTGAAGACTAAGGCAAACTTAACTGGTCTATGCTTTTGACTTTTTTTTTAATTAATTAATTTTTTAAATTTTATTTTGTTTTTTATTTTATTATTGATTAAGTTTATTTTTACTCTTACAGGGAAGTGCGCTTTATATGCACCTAAAAGAAGTTAATTTTGATGGAATGGTTGAGACATTTTCTGCAAAGAAGGAGGTTCTCAAGTCAAACTTCAATAAAATTGATGACTATGAAGGAATGGAGGTAAATATTGTTAGTTCTTTTGTAATAAATATGCTTTATTTGTGTTCAGTATATGTACCAGCATCAAAATTAGGAAACATTCGACCTCATTGTCATTACAGGAACTAGGCTTCAAAATATGCAAATTACTTTTGGTTGTTGACAATCCTTGAATACCAGATAAGCTCTAGGGCATGTCATAGTTTTTTGCTAATAAATACATTCTCACTTAGGATACCGTACCATTGGTTATGCAGATGACCTGATAACAAACATAAAAGGGAATTTGATAGCACTCTGTCAAATAAGATGCAAAATGCCCTAAATGTTGTAGGAAGATGGGTTTAAACAAACTTTGACCAAAGTTACCACTTGAGCTATCGTGACTTCGATCCCCTCAGGCACTAACTTCCCATCTCCGTATTCTCGTCAAGCGGGCCACGAAAAATAGTGAGTTTAATGAATTAAATTGAAGTATACTTCACTAAAGCTCTATGTGGCCATTTCATTTTTCGCCGAGAATCCAATCCATGTCATTTTAAAAATGGCAAAAAGGAGGGAAAATTCAAAAGGTGGGGTTGAGATGGGAAGTTAGTGCCCGAGGGGATCAAAGTCACGATAGCTCAAGTGGTAGAGTAGTGGTGTATCAAACCGAAGGTCGTGGGTTCGAATCCCGCTCGTGAACTGACTTTTTTATCTCAACTTAAAAAAACCTTAATTAATTGAGTGTAATTAATGGATTACTTCTCCAAACCACCAATACATTGGTGATTGGTTGAAGAAGTTAGAGATTTCATTTTTCAGAAAAACAATGCAGAAAGTTTTTAGCAGATAGCTTGAGAACGGTTTTTCCAAATTATAAAAGGTTGTTTGCACTATTGAATTCAGCATCAAAAATGCTTTAAAAAAAATACATTGATACTAGTCATTTGAAATAGTTAAGCTCCTATTCATATTCTGCTATCCTGTAGAGTTAGATCAAAAGTTGTTGGTTCATGGGAGTCTCGGGATTTTTCCAAAAACACTCCAATACAAAAAAAAAAAAAAAAAAACCTTTTGATTAAATTTTATACATTTTTTCAGCTCTCTATCCCACAGGAGAATTACGAATTAACCAATTTGCTTCTACATAGTAACTTGATGCTTGAAGAAGATGCAGCTTATTTATATTCACTTGTCTCTACCCTCCAAATAAAACAGTGTCTACCTAGGTATGTATGAAGTAATATTCTTGCAAGTGTATTTCTATTTAACTAGTAAATTAATTGTGCAAATCTTGTTTTAAAATTAATATAAAAGACGAAAGCTTTTTGGCTAATCTGGTCTGATAGCGCAAAACAGTTTATTGCTTGAAAATAGGTTTTTACCTTGCCACCAATTGCTAAAACTGAAAAATTATTGAACAAAGCTTTAATAAAAAACATTAAGGTCAAATGTTTTGCCCCCACATAATTATAAAGATTGTTTTAAAATTGAGTACAATCCTTGTAAATAAACACAACATACTAGATCATTCAGTGATAACCTGAATTTAGGAGGAGGCGGCTAAGGCCAGAATGCCCCAACCTCCAGACATGACCACCGCTATCTGGCCATCTGACACTAAAAACATGATTAAACAAAAGTGGCAGTGTCGATGGACCTGATCGACATAGAAGCTATCATGTGTTAAAAGCACTGCAATGGCCCACAGAGAATCTGACTCAAACGAGAGGGATGGTTAGGGATGGTAATTATTTAAGAGTGAGTGCGAGTGTGAATCATTTTAAAACTGATGCGTTGGGGGCTGAAACGACCTAGTTGTTGATAGCTCTGTAGTCAGGTATGACTCCAGACTGCCCACACCCAAGGTGGGTGATTCTTGAGGCCTGCCTGTAATTTATTGTAAATTACAAAAGCTGGAATTGCTGGTGGACTGCAAGAAGTGATAGGCTGAACTCTGTACACGTACATATGTGTGTATGTGCATGTGCAGATTGGAGCATATAGAAATAATAACAATCAGTTTATCCATAATAAAAAAAAAAAATTGACACTACCATAACCTTTGTGTAATCATTTTTAAAAAGACTAAGTAGCAATGGTCTATATTGTGGTCTTGTTTTTCTTGTTCTTCTTACAGATGGAAACCAATGATTATACCAGGTGGTATACTGACGGTGGCTTGCTTGGCTTACTTAAAAATGAGGCAAAGAGTTCTTATGCTTCCAGTGATATTAGGTTCCATTACAGGATCATTAATTTATCTCAAACATATATACACCCGCAAACAAAAACTAAAAAGGCTAACCAAACTTCTATCAACATTAAATTCTGTTCTTTATTATATTAAAAAGAATATTAAACAGACACGAGAATTGGGTGCGAATATAGTCACAATGGAGTTCACAAGGTGCGTACAGATTCTATATAATATTTTTTGATTATAACCTGTTCAAATTATTCCAGTGCAAAGGATGATCCAGTTGCTGAAATGTATTATGAACGTACCAGAGAGCAAATAATTTCAGTTATGAAGGATTTAACATGTAATATCATCAATATTATATTGGCAACGAGAAAAACAACCCTGTCTTTTGGGTCAATCCTTTCAAAGTTTTCAGTTCTAAATATCCAACTGTTATCTTCCTTGACCGATGAGCAACTCGGTCTAAAGAAATTCGAGCATCCTACTGATTACAAGGATTCATTAAATATTGAATCTTTAGATGTAAGTGAGAATAATCATCACTTAAGACTGGATTTTCCTGCAGACAGCACCTTCCAAACATGCATAAAACTAACAACTCCTAAAAGCTAACAACTCTCGTTTAACCTATTATAAATTTTATTTACCTAAGAAATTACAATTAATTAAGGTTTTTAGTTGAGATGAAAAAAAGCTAATGGCACGAGAGGGATTCGAACCCACGACCTTCGGCTTGATACGCCGCTGCTCTACCACCTGAGCTATCGTGACCTCGATCCACTCGGACATCAACTCCCCATCTCAACCCCACGTTATGAGTTTTCCCTCCTTTTTTTACTTAAGAAAATCAACTCTTCATAAATAATCTGGATCTCGGTTTGGTCTGGATGAAAAAACAAATTCAATTATCTGCCAAGCTTTCAACATATTTTAAGGTCATCATCATTGCAAAAAAATCTTAAAGGTGCTTTCAAATTGATACAATTAAGTTTTTATTGTACTAGATGGTTTCAAATTTCTTTGATGACTGACTGAATGAAGATAACTTTTCTTCTGGTTCTGCTTTGCTCCCAGAAAAAAGACTGAGATAATGTTAATCAATAAAAATTATGTATTACACTTTACATTCATGCATAAAAAAATTAGGAGAAATGTAATTTTGTGCAGTAAACTCTAAAAACATGCAGTTTTGAATCAAAGAAACGTCCTTTCCATGATTCGAATTTCTCTCTTAGTTTCATTGGCCCTCATGTTACCCAGGTTTTTGGCTGTTTTTGCTCAAGGACATCCTTCCCTCTACCTAGTAATCCTTCCATCTACCTCACTGACTGGTTCTTCCAAGTCATTGAAGGGTCGGCGTCATCGCTGAAATACTTAATCCTTGCTTGTGTACCTCAGGGTTCAAGTAATCCTGATCCCCCCTTGAAACCTTCAACATCTCACCATACTGGAGCCTTTGTGTAAGAAGAGAATTCAACCCAGAAAAATTCACCCATTTAATAACGCCACCCTCTGAAAAAAAATCTGCTCATTTCAATGATATCCCTCTCCTAACTGTAAACTGTGCGGTATCAAGGACATTTACAAATGCTTGTGATACGATACAGAGTACTTTCACAACTTAATTACGAATGCTTTAACTTGCCACTTACAAACAAAAGGCTGCTTTATGATACCATAGTGAAGCCGATATTGACTTATGGACTGGACTGGGATTCAGCAAAACATCCCAATATCCATCGCATCCAAACTGCCCAATCCACAATCCTCAGAAAAATCCTTCATGCTCCATTTTGCGTCTAATGAAACAACCCATACAGACCTAAACATTCCTTTTGTCTAAGATGTAATCTGTTCCCGTTACCGCAAAGTTCATAACCCCCCCCCCCAACAATCATAAATCCTCAAATCCAAAAACTCAAACCGATGAATTCCCCTCAAACCCCCTTTCCGACTGAAGAGGTGATGGCTGCAAGATCTAACAAGTAAAAGTGATAGTGATACTAGTCTCCATTAAATAGAGAAAAAATTGTTTCTCATTGGCGTACTGCCAATGGGCAGTTTCTCCGCTCTTGTTTTGATTGTGTACATACATACATTGTTACTTGTTACCTAATTGAAGGTAGTTGTAATGAACTGTAAATAAAAAAAGTTTCATTGTAATCAGGGTTAGCAATAAAAAGATGCAATTGCACGGGAATCCGGTCTTTAATCATCACTAATGATTAATTATTACTTAACTATATTATTAATCAAATGAATTATTAAATTACAAAAAATATTACATATAATTATTTGTATATTTATTTTGGTGAATTTTTTGTTTGTTTTAGGTGCTGAAAAATATTTATATTTTAATTCAATCTGAATATCTAAAAATGATTGGGCTGTGTTTTACTTCTTTAGCAGAATCTTCAATCGACACAATTTTTACAACTCTTGATAAAGATTTTCAAAATTATTTTGTGATATTAGAAAAAATGAAACTTCAATATAATTGTAGTTTTCTGCCTAAACGATTGACTAAAGAATTGAACATTAAATCCAAAAAATTAGCTGATGGATGCCAAAAGTTGAAAATTTTCAATTCCTTATTAAGTGCCTTAATATTAGAATCAGATAATCTTGAATCGTATTTAGAAAAATATCCTGAAACAAGTAATAGTGATGTTCAAGCAAGTGTATGCCAGATAGACAAAAAATTAAACGACTGCACAGAATATTTTAAAGAAGTGAGCAACCATTTTCAAAGATCGAAATGTGTTAATAAATTGCAAGAACCTTCTGAACCGAGCATTTTGCAAAAAAATGAAGCAAACGATACAAAAATTATACAATTAGGCTATTCTGATTTTTCGGTACGCGATGTCGATAAAGTTTATTTATGTGTTAGTGAAGAGCGTGAGGAAAACGACGTAGATTGTTCAAATGATAATCCCGATGATGATAATTCACCCCAGCTCCCAGTTTTTGTTTTATCTGAGCTAAAACAGGCGTTAACAGTGAAGAAAGTCGAATTTCAACAACGAGAACTCGAAGCAGCACAGCGAAATAATATGAATGATGAATACGCTCAATTTTTATGTGATGAAAATCCTATTTTAAATAAATCATCTCAAAGTGCCAATAATAGGAAACAAAAAACCAATGAAAACCTGTCGACTGAATCAAATCTCAATTCAAATGTTCCAGCATATTCAAATGGAGCAATGTCCTTTCAAAAAATGGTCGCCTTGAAAGCTGTAAATACTTCATTAGCGTGGAATAACTGTCAAGATGAAGTAATTTACGATGAAAATAAGAGTGAAGAATATGAAGACTGCGAATAATGATGATTAATCAATTACAATTTTATACTTTTATGTCTTATTAAATTTATATACTGTAAAGAATAATAAAATATAAGTGAATCAGATTAATTAAATGTCAAAAGTTACACTATTGTAAGATTGCAAGAAAAATGGTTTTATAAAAATTATTTATCTAGTCATAATGTTTACCATTATTGTTTAACAAGTCAACAATAAATATTTTGATACATTTTTGTTTGATAAGCTAAATATATTGGGGTGAGTCAATAAAAATGACCTTTTTCAATTTCTTATTTATTAATTTAAAAAAATCCTTTCATGCCTTCCAATTTATTGTTAGTGTTATTGATTTAACCCTTCACGAGGTGCATAGCGGTACTGTGTATCACAATTTTTTTAAAATATTTATTTTGAATTCTTATTCCAATTTTGCCAAAAGTGGTTAGTATTTGTTTCAAGGACTGGGAGTGACAAGTTCAATTTTCTGCTTTTCCTCATCTCCGTTGCCACAGAGCCATTAAAGAGAAAACTCGCGTTTTCAGAGCTGCATGCCTCCTATTACAGCTCTTTGTTATTTTTCGTTAGGGATCACATTTTAATCTTTTTTTGGTCATAGCTATGATTTTAGTTGTATTTGATTTTTGAATTTATCGTTTTTTTACTTTTTAGGTTTGAAAATATGTATAACAAATCTTAAAGACTCTTGAAGGTCCTCTGATAAATATTGGAGTTTACAGGTTGTAGTGACAATGAAGCAGAAGAAATGATACTTTGACGATTGTAACAGCGAATCTGAGTAATCTGCCAGTGAAGATGAAGTAGAAGGAATGATGAAGACATGCATGTAGAAAATACCTGATTATACATTTTCCTTGGCAAAGATGATACATTTGGATAAGCAATCCAACTGCATTACCACATAAAACTCAAGCAAAAAATATATAAACTTTACCAGGTCCCATGGGAGTTGCGCAGGATTTACGTACAGAGTTTAATATATTTTTAAATTAAGTTTTAATTGAAATGTATGACGATACAGCACTTTTCACTAAAAACTACATCAATGTCAATAAAGGAAAAATGTGTAGAAAAAGAGAAAACCTATAAGAAACATGAATGAGCTAATGGCTGTTTTGGGGGTACTAAAAAAAGTAAAGTAATTCTTATCATACAGGAGGGCTTAACACCCAACTACACATCATGTGTCGTGTATGAGGGGTCAAATAATTGTACAATACATTTTTCATATAATCAATTAAAAAGGCATGGGTACCTAACCTTACCTAACCAGAACTGCTAGTGTGGCAATTTGGAAGTTCTTCCACTGTGATCCCCGTTTTGTGGGCATTTACTGGCAATATTTCTTTTTTATTTTATTTTCTTTTTTTATTTGGGGATGGGGGAGAGGTAACTCTCAATGTTTAGGATTGCTGGCTGAGGTTTAGGGTTGCTAGGAGGTAACGAGGCCACTATCTTTTTTAACATTACATTGATCCAGTGAAGTTGATCACACCTTGCATTCTTCTTCAGGTAAGTGATCATTTACCTAAGAAAATTGTGGAGTAAATGTTTCTTTAATTACTAATCATTATGAATAAAAAAGAAATAAAAACAACATTTATTTGATAAATGTCTAAACACTATTATTATTTATTAAAATTAAGTTAACCAAGTAGTAGGCTCTCCTGCTTGGCCAATTTTTTTAACGTACATCGAAGTTCATTATCATAATTGCTAACTTTACACAAACTTTCTTCATTTCTACAATCTTGACATGGTTAAAAATGTAGAATAAAAAAATAAATACATCATTTTTCAAAGACTAATAAGATGTAAATTGCAGCCTTTGTACCTTAAAGTTTGTACCTATCAATAAAAATCAATGCATTGAAAGTAATTATTTAAATTCTATCGTTTTAACTGTGAGTAATTTAAAAATAATAATTTTGGCAATAATACTAAACTGTATTACCGATAAACATTGTAACTTATTTCATTAAACATTTCATTGAACAAACATTTTCATCAAAATCAAACATTGTCATTAAACTTTGAACTTATTTAAAAAAACAAAATTATTTTATTTTTATTTGATATTTATATTATTTAATATCATCCTCAGACATGGATAGATTTTGTATCACGACTTCAATCGCCTTTGTAAGGGCAAAAACTAAGTTATGATGATTATGAAAATATTTTGTTACCCATAGTAAACAAAATATTGAATGCAATTTTATTTTTGCCCTTATTAAACCTATCAGTCTATCTCTATAATTATTGTTTTAATATAAAAAAAATTAGACATTGGATTTGTTTTTATGTAAGTAGTCCTTGCGAAATATTTGGTTCATAAACGCTCCAATATACGTCCTGATCCAGGTTGGTGGAATTGTTGTAAAAAAATACTGAAACAAAAAGACAAACAAAGCTGTTAAAATTAGGTCCATGCAAATTACATTTTTATTAGACTGAATCAGTTATTAAAATTTGCATTTCATTTGGTTAATTTTGATTGTAAATTATTGTAACCAAAATTGCTGTAGACCAGTGGCCAGTTGTTTTAGTCTTTGAAATTAAGTTTTCAGTCTCTTTACTTTTGAACTTAAGATTAAAATCTAGAAATTAAAAATAAATAATTCCCAGTAATTATTTATTATTAATAAATAATAATTATTTAATATTAAAAAATAAATACATCATTTTTCAAAGACTAATAAGATGTAAATTGCAGCCTTTGTACCTTAAAGTTTGTACCTATCAATAAAAATCAATGCATGATCATGTTGTTATAGGTAAATTTTGGTTGGTCCTTGGTGCAGACTTTCTTGCCAATGAAAATGATCAATAATGCAAATATAAATTAAAAACAAAAGTAGAGAGCACTAAAAATCTGTTTTTATATTTCAATCTAACCTGTATTCCATGTGCCCAGTATCCAGTCGAATGATTGACTTGGCCTAAAGTATTAATAGCATTTTCAGCATATATTTGGGCATTCGGTACAAAAAGGGAATTAGTCTGAAGCCTGTGGCTGAATGCATTCATTTTAGTATTGATGAAAAATGGGGAAAGGTGTTGGACGATAATACCATCTTTCTGGTACTCCACTTGCAACGCTTTTGAGAAACTTCTCACAAATGCCTGGAAAAAGTAAACATTTTCTAAATTTAAATAATTATTAAATATTTGCATGATGTCAAATACTGATGATGAGATGTGATTGTGATAGATTATGCTTTCTCCGTGTAGTCTGTGAGGTAATAAAGCTGTAATTTGGTCGTTACCAATCCTGGCCTGTCTATCTTCAGAATTTTAGTCTACACATGAGGATTGCAGTCTAGGATTGGATAAGACCAAATTACAATAAGATCAGAAATAAAATATATTATATTCTTTTAAATATGATATATGATTGATTAACTAAGCAAATACAAAAATCCAAAAGATCCATTCTAATGCAGTAAATTTTCTTATTTCTTTAAATCTGCTGGATTATAATATAATCTGATATAATATATAATGACAATATATAATTGTGTTGTATCATAAACCTTAGTTGCTGCATATACAGTCATTAGTGGCAGAGGTTGAAGTTCTGAACTCGATGAGACATTTACGATTGCTCCTCTATTCCTTGCTAACATTTGGGGCATTAAGATCCTTGTCATCATAGTTGTCGCCCCAACATTGATGTTTATGATGTCCCAAAGTTCTTGTTCAGGTACCTCGCCCAAATACATGGGATATGTGTATTGTTTGCCAACATTGTTAACTGTAAAGGAATCATTAATTTTAAGTTTACTATTTTTTTTAAACATTAGAAAAAACATTTTGATTTTTGGCATCAAGTGATATAATATTGAAGTCTCGTGTTATAAATAATAATTTTTATAAAATACTTATATAAATTTTAAAATGTCACCTAGGATTCCTACTGGCACTCCTTTTAGCTCTGTTTCAATGTTATAAAACACTGATTGCCCTTTGCTGAAGTCAACAGGTATGACTTTCGTCTTCACATGAAACCTAGTTTCTTTAAAACCCACAAAGTTAATAAAATTATAAACTAAAAAACTGTTACTATTCTTAGTTTTTATACAGTCACAATTTTAAATGATACAAGAATGCAGATATAAGGTTAAATTAAACAATACCAATATTGGATGAAAGTGCTGCTAATTTTTCAGGATTGCGACTGATAAGCACAAGATTTACATGTCGCTTTGCCAGTTCCATTGCATACGCCTTTCCTATGCCATCGGTACAGCCAGTTACAACTGTAAAACAAACAAATATATCAATTTCAACAAATGAAAATCAATCTCCACTAAAAAGCAACTATTTACACTGATATAATGGCTAAGACCGATTTAAAAAAGAATGAAAAAAAGTCCTGATAGAGAGAATATTACTTGAAAGCTGAGCAGAGGAATTCTTTCAAAATGGCCTTATCCTTGATTTTTAATATAAAATTAACTATTTAGAAATAAAATGGAAATAAATGGCTGATTATTGTTTGTCGAAAGTTTCACAATGACTTTATTTCAAAAATTTCACAGACACATATGTGCCTCTCTTTCTACTCTCGCTCTCTCTTTCACATTTTGCTATCTTTCTCTCTGTAACTTTCTTTATTTATATGTCTCACTCACTCTCTGTTGCTCTCTCTCTTCTTCCCTCCGTCCCTTACTCACTTCATACCCTCTCTCACTCTCTCTCTCTTTCTCACTTTGTCTCTATGTCCCTCTGTCACTCTCTCTCTCTCTCCTCTCGCTCTATCAACTAATTATACTCTCTCCCTTTCTCTCTCTCTCCCTCCCTCTCTCCCTCTCCCTCTCTCTCTCTCTCTCTCTCTCTCTTTCTCTCTCTTTCTCTTTCTCTTTCTCTTTTTCCCCTTTCTCTGCCTGTCCCCTTACCTCTCTCTGTCTTTCTCACTCTCACTCATTTTGTGATCTATCTCTCTATACTTTTCTTTATTTATATCTCTCCCACTTTCGCTTTTATTCTCACTTTCACTTTGTCTCTGTCTTTCTCACCCTGTTCCCTTACTTCTCTCACTCTATTTCACTCACACATTGTATCTCTCTCTCTCCCTCTCACTTAATCTCTTTGTCGCTCTCTGTCTATCTGTCTGTCGTCTCTCTCTCTCTCTCTCTCTCTCTCTCTCTCTCTCTCTCTCTCTCTCTCTCTGCAATCTTTCTTTCTTTACTCTCTCATCCTGTCTCTATATCTCTCTGTCCCTGTCTGTCTGCTCTCTTTTTTTCTCTCTCTCGTTTTGCCATCTTTTATTATTATTCTATTTTCACTTTGTCTTTATGTCTCACTCTCTCTCACTCTCTCTCTCTCTCTCTCTCTCTCTCGCATCTAGCTATATTTCTTCCTACGTGAGCCTTTACATTGACCTTGTAAATTGTTAATCGCATAACAATTTTAAATGATAACAGATTGCACAATTTTTACTTAGAGTACTTTCTCTTTTTACGCTCAATTGTTGGACGAGAGCAGACAGTTTAGCTCACGGGGTTGATTTGATCTATTATAATGTCGGAAGGAGGATCGCGATAAAAAGGAGACACATTAGGTCATCTTTCTCGGACGGATTAGTGATCTGAAGATTGATTGTGATTTGAAGATTTTCTTATTTGTACCAGGCGTTGTTTTTGTTCCGTAGGTCGTCCATCAAACGCATCATTACTGAAAATGCGCAACCCAAGTGATTTCACACACATCCCGGCCTATGCTCCTCGTCATCGTTAAATTACTGTAATTATAGAAATAGGTTGAACCGAGAAATGTTTTTTTGAACTTCCATCGTCTAGATTTTGACCTTGTTCTCAAGGAGAAACAGAAACGGAAGCCAGTACAAAAGTAGTTTTAAATCTTATGTTCTTGTTGATCAATGTCTGAGGGTAAAAAAAAGAAAGTGAAGTTGGTTAATAGCTATGTTTCCTCTTCCTTCACTTAACAAGTGACATTTGCCTTGAAGCAAGGGATACCCTTTCAAAATCAACCAAACTGGGTACTTTTCGTTCGAGGAAGATCGCACAATCTTCCTACTTGCACAATACTCGTCCGTTAAATACAAAAGCACTTCGTGATTTTTGAAAAAAAAGCACAACTTGAAAAATGAAGTGATTTTGTCATGTGAAGTGATATGAAGTGAAGATGGGACCTGAGAGGTTAATTTTTGACCCTTGACCAACAGAAAGCAAAAATTTGCCAATAAAAACCCTAAGTTCAAGAAAAGAATGTTCATTGCGTAACAATTATGATGTTCATAACTACATTTGCCAAAAAAAAGGCAGAAGTTGTATGGTTTCTTTATAGATTTGTCTGCGCCTTTGATTCTATTCTACTGTACAGTGTGGGTCGTTGAACAAAAATAGTTTTGTCCAATACGGTGCTCCTTATTGGCATTACGGCTCTAATCTTACGAACGAAGGATTTGTCATTTGCTGGGTGTAAAGCAAGGAGCATTATTGAGCCCGTTGTTACTTGCACTTTATTTAAACGATCTGGAGAAATTTTTGGATTATGGTGGCATAAGTGTGGGCTCGATAAAAATTAAAACGCTACCCTAGGCGGATGATGTGTGTATTGTTTCATCTCACCAGGGAATACTGTAGATAAATTCGTGGCCAAATATTCCAAATGAAATATGGACCTTCAAAATAAATTTAGATACATCAAAGATTATTGTGTAAGTAAAGAAAAGTGGTATTTTGAAGGACAAAGATTAGTGATAGTTAATATTAACCAGTAAATGGTAAGATTTAACTTCTAACTTTCATTTATAAACCATCTTAAAGAGAAATTGAACACAGCTAATCAAGGAATCAACACTTTGTGGCACACTTTTTTAATAACCAAAAAATATTGCTTCCCTCTAAAATGACACTGTGTGTGTGTGTGTGTGTGTGTGTGTGTGTGTGTGTGTGTGTGTGTGTGTGTGTGTGTGTGTGTGTGTGTGNAGTGAGAGATAGGAAAAATGAGAGAGAGAGAGGAAGAGAGAATGAGAAAGTGAGATTGTAGGTCAGTGCGTGAGAGATAGGAAAAGTGTGTGTGTGAGAGAGAGGGAGGGAGAGAGAGAGAGAGAGAGAGAGAGAGAGAGAGAGAGTGAGTGAGTGAGATAATAAGTGAGTGAGATATAGGAAAAATGAGAGAGAGAGAGGAAGAGAGAATGAGAAAGTGAGATTGTAGGTCAGTGCGTGAGAGATAGGAAAAATGTGTGTGTGAGAGAGAGGGAGGGAGTGGGAGAGTGAGAGAGTGAGAGAGAGTTAGATAGTGAGTGAGTGAGTGAGAGTAGGAAAAGAGTGTGAGAGAAAGAGAGGGTGAGGGAGAGGCGAGTGAGTTAGTGAGACAAACAGACAGACATTGTTTTTAATTGTATATTTTTGTCTAGCAAATTGATAAGATTAAGTTTCCACAATTGCAGGCTTGAAAAGGTAGAAATAGAAATCATTTATTTATATAATTTTCCTTTTCTTTATTTATTTCTGTTACTAGTCGTGTAAGTAATACTTTAATTTGTTTAAAAAAGAACTTTTTCGAGGGTTTTATAAAACCAAAAATACTCTCTTTAGTTAAATGCTATTGTACACGTAAATAATTAATAAATGTTTAATAATAATTTGATTTCTAATAGACGATTTTTTTTCGAATTTAACAGTTTGTTAAGGTTCATGTGTTACGAATAAATTTCGAAATTTCCCCACAACTTTATCAACTATTACATAACTAGGCTGTGATACGTTTTCTGAAATCATTTCCAAACTTACATAACATTAATGGAGATTATGGTAAAAAACTTATTAAAAAAATGTATTACAGAAACGTGCAACAAGAGAACCGGATAAGTATCGTAAACATAAAATTTTTTTATTGGTAATAAATTTTCAAACACGTCCAAAAATTGAAAATAATCAGAGTAAAGATGGAAACATCACACTCGACAATTTTAATTGCTTTCACTGTTATTTCCAATAATTACCCTCTAATTGGGTGTTGTGGGTATTTAGAGCTTTATTTTGAACAACCTGCAATCATCTCGTTTGTCGCGTAACTTCTTTTAGACAGATTTCATACAAAAAAGTTATGTTCCGTGTCGAATCCTTTCAAAATTCACAAGGCTCAATTCAAAATGCACTGGTTAATGGGCAGAAGCTTTCCTTTGCTCTGGAAAGTAAGCGTTCACTTCATCAGCAGATCCTCAAGCCAATGTGGACTAAGTTGTTGCATGATGATAGCCTGTGCCAGCAAAAGCAACCGCCAGGCATTCAGAATAGAAGAAGAAGAAGAAGAAGAAGAAAAATAACTTTATTCTGGGACTGGTGTCCCCTTAGAATAATTTACATGAGACAAAATATAATAACCTTCTATGAAGTCACATAATTTAAAAAAAAAAAGGAAAAAAAAGATAGATAGAAATCGTGGCACAATGTATGCCAGTAAGGCGGGCCAGAAGAGAAAATTACGAGGTATATTAAACAAAGACAAAAATAATAAATGTTATCGTGAGGTCTCTGCTTGGAGGGAGAGGAGGTGATTATAAAGATGGGATTTAAATGAGGAGAAGGAGGCAGCGTGACGAATAGATAGGGGAAGGGAGTTCCAGANGGTTATGGGGACAGGCCTTGATGAAGAAGAGTTGGGCGAGACAAAGTGGGAGTTTAATTCTTCAGGGGATACAGGATAGGAAGATGGTGAGTTGGGTGGACGACATAAGCCAATGTTACGAAGGAGCTTCCATTTTGCTCGAGGATCAGGAGTAGTGGAGAGTGCCTCTTGGTAATGAAGGGCTTTGGCCCGACGGATATGGGATTGGGTTTTATTGCGAAGGGCTCGGAAGGAAGAGTGGTCTTCAGGAAGTTTGGTTCGACGAAAGCGACGGGCGCTTAGAATAGAGTAATCAGAAGCCTGGCCAACCCACCGTGGTACATCAAGACCTCCACCGTGACCGCAACATAACGAACACGCAACAAAGAACATAAACAGTAGAGGAAGCTATAAAGCGTTGTATCCCAAACTGATCGTAAGACCGATGAATAAGAATATTGTCAGACCTGACATTTTAAAATGATCCGTCAGATCTGGGACAGTTTGAAAGATTGTCAGGCTTGACGATAACAGGTTTCCCTATTCACCAGTTAAAATGATCGTCAAACCTTATATTATTATAACAAAATTTTTATTTTTTACGTTTTATACGTTTTTTTAAAAAATAATTTACTAACTCGTTCGGTTGTTTTATTGTAGAGCAAGGAGAACCACAACACTT